CAAGGAGGCAAGGGAGGTAACTCGTGGGTGAGTGGTGATTTTACGTCCGCTTTTTAGAAGGGAACTTCAAGGGATTCAAGTGTTCCACTATCATTCGCAAGGAGGAGACAAGCATTTAGCATGAGTCAGGATAAGGAAAAAGTATTAGCTTATATCACAAGGAACATAACAGGGATATACAGTACTTGTTTACTTGTAAACGTTTCATTGTCACTTGAGTGCTGGCAAATATCAATATATTGATATATAGATAGCAGAGAGAAGGCTGTATAGATAATAGTGGTGATCCGATTAATTGAAATAATCGAAGATTGGTCGCAGTGACTAAACGACCAAGCAATCGATCATGTTTTCTCATAATCGAACACAAAACAATTCTGGAACACTTGTCTTCATCAACAATATTTTTCACAAGGTTGGTTTTGTCTGTTACATTTCATAAGCACTATAAGCTCGTTCCAAGTCATGATTGAATTTATCTTAAAGACACCATGAAATTTATGTTCCTAACATACTAGTCATCCTTTAAAGATGTGAAATTTTGCCAAAGCCCCCAAAATAACTACGTTTTTTCCTTATTTTTTGTGTGCATTAACAAATTTCATAAATGACGCTAACCAATTATTTTTGATGAAGAACTTTACAATCATTGGGGTACTAACTACTTTTATCATCTGATCCGTCTGATGACGTTAGTCACATATTAATCAACAGCTGGGGATTATATCTGATCCGTCTGATGACGTCAGTCACATATTAATCAACAGCTGCTGGTCATATATGATCCGATCCATATGATGGCGTCAGTCACATATATTAATCAACAGCTGGGGATCATATCTGATCCGTCTGATGACGTCAGTCACATATATTAATCAACAGCTGGGGTCATATCTGATCCGTCTGATGACGTCAGTCACATATATTAATCAACAGCTGGGGGTTATATCTGATCCGTCTGATGACGTCAGTGACATATATTAATCAACAGCTGGGGATCATATCTGATCCGCCTGATGACGCGTCATCATATCAATCAACTGCTGGGGTCATATCTGATCCGTCTGATGGCGAGTCAGTCATATATTAATCAACAGCTGGGGATCATATCTGATCCGATCTGATGACGTCAGTCACATATATTAATCAACAGCTGGCGGTCATATCTGATCCGTCTGATGACGTCAGTCACATATTAATCAACAGCTGGGGGTCATATCTGATCCGTCTGATGACGTCAGTCACATATATTAATCAACAGCTGGGGGTTATATCTGATCCGTCTGATGACGTCAGTCACATATATTAATCAACAGCTGGCGGTCATATCTGATCCGTCTGATGACGTCAGTCACATATATTAATCAACAGCTGGGGTTATATCTGATCCGTCTGATGACGTCAGTCACATATATAATCAACAGCTGGGGGTCATATCTGATCCGTCTGATGACGTCAGTCACATATATTAATCAACAGCTGGGGTCATATCTGATCCGTCTGATGACGTCAGTCACATATATTAATCAACAGCTGGGGTCATATCTGATCCGTCTGATGACGTCAGTCACATATATTAATCAACAGCTGGGGGTCATATCTGATCCGTCTGATGACGCCAGTCACATATATTAATCAACAGCTGGGGTTATATCTGATCCGTCTGATGACGCGTCAGTCACATATATTAATCAACAGCTGGGGTCATATCTGATCCGTCCTGATGACGTCAGTCACATATATTAATCAACAGCTGGGGTTATATCTGATCCGTCTGATGACGTCAGTCACATATATTAATCAACAGCTGGGGGTTATATCTGATCCGATCTGATGACGCGTCAGTCACATATATTAATCAACAGCTGGCGTCATATCTGATCCATCTGATGACGCCAGTCACATATTAATCAACAGCTGGGGGTTATATCTGATCCGTCTGATGACGTCAGTCACATATATTAATCAACAGCTGGGGGTCATATCTGATCCGTCTGATGACGTCAGTCACATATATTAATCAACAGCTGGCGGTCATATATGATCCGGCCTGATGACGCCAGTCACATATATTAATCAACAGCTTGGGGTTATATCTGATCCGTCTGATGACGCCAGTCACATATATTAAATCAACAGCTGGGGGTCATATCTGATCCGTCTGATGACGCCTGTCACATATATTAATCAACAGCTGGGGTTATATCTGATCCGATCTGATGACCTCCGTCACATATATTAATCAACAGCTGGGGATCATATCTGATCCGTCTCTGATGACGCCAGTCACATATATTAATCAACAGCTGGGGATCATATCTGATCCGCCTGATGACGTCTGTCACATATCAATCAACAGCTGGGGTCATATCTGATCCGTCTGATGACGTCCAGTCACATATATTAATCAACAGCTGGGGATCATATCTGATCCGTCCTGATGACGCCAGTCACATATATTAATCAACAGCTGGGGTCATATCTGATCCGTCTGATGGCGTCAGTCACATATTAATCAACAGCTGGGGGTTATATCTGATCCGTCTGATGACGTCAGTCACATATATTAATCAACAGCTGGGGGTTATATCTGATCCGTCTGATGACGTCAGTCACATATATTAATCAACAGCTGGCGGTCATATATGATCCGTCCTGATGACGTCAGTCACATATATTAATCAACAGCTGGGGGTTATATCTGATCCGTCTGATGACGTCAGTCACATATATTAATCAACAGCTGGGGTTATATCTGATCCGCCTGATGACGCCAGTCACATATATTAATCAACAGCTGGGGTCATATCTTATCCGTCTGATGACGTCAGTCACATATTAATCAACAGCTGGGGTTATATATGATCCGTCCTGATGACGCCAGTCACATATATTAATCAACAGCTGGGGGTTATATCTGATCCGGCTCTGATGACGTCTGTCACATATATTAATCAACAGCTGGCGGTCATATATGATCCGTCCTGATGACGCCAGTCACATATATTAATCAACAGCTGGGGGTTATATCTGATCCGCCTGATGACGTCAGTCACATATATTAATCAACAGCTGGGGTTATATCTGATCCGTCTGATGGCGTCAGTCACATATATTAATCAACAGCTGGGGTCATATCTGATCCGGCTCTGATGACGTCAGTCACATATTAATCAACAGCTGGGGTTATATATGATCCGCTGATGACGCCAGTCACATATATTAATCAACAGCTGGGGTTATATCTGATCCGATCTGATGACGCTCTGTCACATATATTAATCAACAGCTGGCGGTCATATATGATCCGGCCTGATGACGCCAGTCACATATATTAATCAACAGCTGGGGTCATATCTGATCCGTCTGATGACGTCAGTCACATATATTAATCAACAGCTGGGGGTTATATCTGATCCGTCTGATGACGTCAGTCACATATATTAATCAACAGCTGGGGGTCATATCTGATCCGTCTGATGACGTCAGTCACATATATTAATCAACAGCTGGGGATCATATCTGATCCGTCTGATGACGTCAGTCACATATTAATCAACAGCTGGGGATCATATCTGATCCGCCTGATGACGTCTGTCACATATCAATCAACAGCTGGGGTCATATCTGATCCGTCCTGATGGCGCCAGTCACATATATTAATCAACAGCTGGGGATCATATCTGATCCGCCTGATGACGTCTGTGACATATCAATCAACAGCTGGGGGTCATATCTGATCCGTCTGATGGCGTCAGTCACATATATTAATCAACAGCTGGGGATTATATCTGATCCGCCTGATGACGTCTGTCACATATCAATCAACAGCTGGGGGTCATATCTGATCCGTCTGATGACGTCAGTCACATATATTAATCAACAGCTGGGGTTATATCTGATCCGCCTGATGACGTCTGTCACATATCAATCAACAGCTGGGGGTCATATCTGATCCGTCTGATGACGTCAGTCACATATATTAATCAACAGCTGGGGGTTATATCTGATCCGTCTGATGACGTCAGTCACATATATTAATCAACAGCTGGGGTCATATCTGATCCGATCTGATGACGCCAGTCACATATATTAATCAACAGCTGGGGTTATATCTGATTAAGCCTGATGGCGTCAGTCACATATATTAATCAACAGCTGGGGATCATATCTGATCCGCCTGATGACGTCTGTCACATATCAACAGCTGGGGGTCATATCTGATATTATTACCCGTGGTCAACGCATGGGTAGTTGCATATTAATCTCGTCGTCACGCGAGTAATGTATTATCGCGTTGACCTGTGTCGTGAAGCGACTTGACCTGAAATTCTAACGATTTGATTGGATAACCGATGACCTCTCAATTAGGTCACATTCTGGCGTAACTATTTTTTCATTCATAACAAACCGCGGAATTCATTCATTCTACAACTTAAATGCATTGTGGGAATGTAAACATTGCGAACATTGCCGTGTCGGCTGTTTAATTGTGAGTCGAACTGAGACATTATATCTGTCGAAAAACATAAACGCCAATGTTTCCACCAGTGATGTTAGCCGAATGAAGCAACTGGAAACCAAGAAGCGAGGTGAACGGAGTAGTTTACTGTAGGAGGCTGTACGGTGCGATGACAACTGGCATGCGTCGTGGCGCCGGGTTACCATGGCAGTGACGTCATTAGTGTGACGTCATGCAAATATTGTACTACAGTACAAAACTCTTCCGCCAACCTCTTTATGAAACCGGTTTCGGTTTGAAACCAAAACATAACAAAAATACGCTATTTTGTCAATTTAAATGCATGTAAGGCGTGGGTAATAAATAAAATGCCACACTTTCGGTCTCATTACATACAAATTATCACGAAACTTCATTGACCTTCCTATGTTATCTGACCTCAAGCTTTAAACGGGTCAGATACCATGGAAGGACACTCGCTTCGTTAATTAATATGTAATGAGACCTCGCGGTAGTATTCTCTATATGTGTCACTCACCACGCAGCGATGCCGCTTTCGACTGGGCTCTTCTGGTTGAATCGGTGTCACTCCTGGGGATTCTGGGAGTTTTCGACGTGCAGGTACTTCTTTGTTGTCCACCATTTTTTCACTGGGTGTCTCAATCACTGGATGCAGAACTGCCCTGTGAGTGAGTGAGTGAGTGAGTGAGTGAGTGAGTGAGCCTGTGAATATCCCTGCCTTGATCAGGCAAACCACAGACAAAGAAGCAATGACTTCTGAGTATGATGAAACTATTTATAATCACAGACTATGACAACACATCGTACACTTTAGAGGATCTTACGACCTATTCTAATTTACCAGGGTCCATAAGGACATCCTAACTTGATAAGTGTACTATATCTCTAATTCTCCATCCAATTATGACAAATACCTTAGACCTATCCGCCACATTATTTGAAGAAAAAAAGAAAGAAGACCTTTTATTAAACTATTGAAAGCAGGGGATACAAATCCTTATGCTACTAGATATTCCATTTGTCCTGGCATCAGTGCACAGTATGGCTTGCCATGAAAATATTTGACGTTTGTTTTGAGCCTTTCATCAAACCAAGAAGAGGGTCATATGGTGGGGTCCAAGGTATATACCACAAAACAATGTCAGCATGAATACCTTGGAAGCAATGGACAAGTCTTCAGCAGTTGATGGTATGTTAGTGTATGAAAGTAACTCAAGATGGCTGTATCCCACTTGGTCACAAGTCCGCAGCTTGAACTTCACCAAACTGTCTGCTATGTTTACATTTTTGGTCAGTTTGATTAAGTTAAAATTTGAAGCAAAAGTCTGTTGCTCGTCATGCTGAAGACCCGGGTTCGATTCCCAACATGGGTACAATGTGTGAAGCCCATTTCTGGTGTCCCCTCCATGAAATTGCTGGAATATTGATAAAGAGGTGTAAAACTAAACTCACTCACTGAAGCAAAACTCACAAACGAAGAAGAAGTTCAGAATGCTCAAATATCTACCAGTCATTGAGGGCTACTGCTAGATTGTAACTAGTTATCAGCACAGTTTAACAATCAAACAAGACTGTATTTAGATCATCAAGATATGCTTAGCTCCTCTCCAACAGCTGGCTGAGACTCACTCTTCTTCATGAATCACCGGCATGATGTCTGACATGCTGGAGGTTGATCGTGACCGTGTCTTCATCGGGGAGATGAGGTCAGCAATCTCAATGGGGATATCCTCCATCTTATCCTCAGACATCTCAATATCCTTCCCATCAAACCCTGGCAGCTCCTTCTCATCCGGCACCTGCACCACATCATATTCATTACAAACATCCTAAAAAACATCTTCACTTTCCTCAAAACCTACATCCCTTACACAGGCATCTTTAACATCATCGTCCTGGATAGCATCACCCTCAACACCAGCTCCCGCAACACCAACATCCTTATCACATGACCTTTACAGACATCCGCGCTATAAGCGTCATCAAGACTAACATGAACATCTTTAAAGCGGCCTTCACACAGCAAACTAAAGTTTGACAACACATGTTATTAAAATTTGAAAAGTTGTCAAACTCGCATTTTCACATGTCAAACACATGTTGTCAAACTTTCGTGTCATTTGAGCGCCATGTCTCTATCAGTGTGGTCACGTGACAATTTCGTTGGATGTTTCTGAACAACACGAGTTTGACAACACCGAAAGTTCGATGGAAAAGTTGGTGAGAATAGAGACTGATCCTATTTCTCAATACAGTTTGACAACTCTGAAATTGGTGTTGGTGGTGAGTTGGTGGAATGTTCACACTCTCAAACTCGAGTTTGACAACATGTGTTGTCAAACTTTTGTTTGCTGTGTGAAGGCCGCTGAAGACCAACATATCTAATACCAGCATCCTTAACATGTGTTCTCGACACAGACATCCCCAACATCAATTAGAATATCCTATACAACAATGTGCAAATATTATGATATTGTATCATATATGAGTTCACAATATGCAGGGGGTTGGGGTAGCAATAAAGCGCTATTCCCCACATACAATGTTTACTGGAGCATATTGCTGAATCTAAAAGCGGCGAAAACTTTCCAGTTTCTTTCCTATAGTTTACTGGAGCACATCTCTTTTCCATTTCTTAGAGTTCACACATCTTATAAAGAAAAACCTGACATGCTTTCTCTTGTGGGCAGTAGAATAGAATGTAAGTAACATATATTTTACAGAGAAGAAATGGAATAAGCCAAGTAACAACAGATAATGTGAGGTCAAAGATGCTTTGCATCAACCAAATCAGCAAGCCTGACCACCCAATCCATTTAGTTGCCCCTTATGCCTTCTGATGTACTACTATTAGATGAGCCACGACCTGACAAATGACCCCAATTTGCATATATGGGAACGCCCTCCAGAACATTCCATTTGAAAAATGAGGGAAACAGCTGGTTGTCGTCTAAAACTTGAAAAGTTCAATTTCCTCGTGCGAATCATGTTTTGATTGTTATATCATACTAAGTATGTGTACAGCTAAGATCCTTAGAAACTGAACCACGACAAATATAACTTTATTTACAAAACACCCCACACAAGTGCTAGAGAAAAGAACATGTTATGTTGACAAACAGATGTATAATCGGCATATATTCTGGTGCATCCTCTCCATACAGGGGTGAAATACGGAATAGATCCATTATAGAATTCACTGATTTAGGCATACTTCAGGTCTTAGTTGTCACTTTGTGAATCGGTCTCGGTGTCTGAATCACTTGCCAGTCCTACTTCGATCACGATTGATTAGGCTGAACCCCATTTATCTCAACCTCACCATCAAGCTGCCAACATTTTGGGACAATGTGGTGTTGTAGCAACCAAGTGTATTTGTCTAGATTCCCTGACCCGTCTACTTGTCACAAACGCTTGTACATGTACTGCGCAGGTTCATCTAATAAGAGTCAAGCAGTAGCATGAGTTACCAGTATTGTCACATGTATTTGTGTTCTCTGCTTTACCTGTATCCGTTCTGAGGCAAGCGAGTCGTCTTCCTTCAACCGAATGTCTTCTGGTTTAGATACAGTGTGAGGACTTTTTAGTGCTGTAGAGAGAATCACACAATGTGGAAATAGTCCACTCCAACTCCAACTTTTTATTTTCAAAACATATATTCCTACTGAAATATGGCTTAAAATCAAATCACAGATAAAGCTATCAACTGATACAGTCATTCTGTTACTTGTCTAGGGTTGCTATGACTCAACTATATCTCCAGATATGATGCATAACATGATATTTAAGTATTCTGCCAATTATGTGTGAATTCAAATATTTCATGAGACATTAACATCATTAAAAAGCCTTGACACTTCCTGAATATCTTTTCTCACATTTGAATATAAAATAATGACTCATTCACTTAAGTATTGTATTTCAGAAAAAAACTGTAATGTCGACATAAATTGGCTGGTTGTTTAACGCCGCACTCAGCAATATTCCAGCTATATGGTGGTGGTCTGTAAATAATCAAGTTTGCACCAGACAATCCAGTGATCAACAGCATGAGCATCGATGTACGCAACTGAGATGCAATGACGATAGTTTACTCTTATGACAAGCGTGGGTTGCTCAAGATCAAATATAACCCGGATCTTCACAGATTTGTCAACATAAATACTTTCTATCACTAATAATTATAGTAACTTCCCTTAGATGTGCCCTTGAAATAAAATACATTAAATATGAATAAATGATACAGGATTAAAATATCAGTTAATACAGATTAAAGGGCATTGTTTCATCTGAAAATATTACCAATGCATTAGTAAAATATGACATCCCTTCAGTTTCCTCTGATAAGTGTGGTACTTGTGAATTGTGTGCCTGTGTGATTCATGAAATGAGAGGGAGTTTGTCATGGCAAGTGTAGGACATTCACCACATTGATGAAACCAAAGAACACAGGTATGGAGCAGACAAACCAAGAAACAGTCTGGGTGAATCTGGGAATCAAACCCTTAATCATGAGTTTCTAGGGTGGTGCATCATGACTTGAAGTGCTTTCGACAACCACCACCACTGTGCCCAATGTAGGAAATATATAATCAGACTTCTCAACTATGAAAACCATGGGACTTACCATCTTGTACCATGTCCTGCATTGACAGAGGAAGGGGAGACAACTGCACCTCCTTGGGCGGACTCATGCTGATCCCTTGCCACATGTCCTGTCAACAGATTCGGACCCCATGTTGTAGGGTCATGAATTTATTAAATTGTTTACTATGCCAGCAAACATAAACAAACATATTTCAGAGTTCACACAGATGTTTGAACTTTATCAAGCTCTTTTCAAAGGTCTACTTCATTCATCTAAATGCACATCCAGTCAAAACTAACTTAAATATAATGGAAATGATTTCATAAAAAATCACTCATCCTATACTGACAGTACAACACTTGTCCTATACTAACAGTACAACTTGATAGCAATCGATGTCTTTTTCATTACGCAAGCAATTTTTATAAATATATTCCGTGACGCATTTGTTTTAAACTTTTTGCATATCTAACATTTTAAATGAGTAATTGGTACGCAACAATTATACTTCAACTCGTAAATGGAAATTTTCTATGCGTATTTTACCCGGATACGCAGCTTATCTGGGCCTCTGCATCCTGAATGCATGATTCAGGTCCAACAGGTGCAGCATCCAACTTCCAGCCCTGTTTCTGTCACAAGTCAGAGGGCCGATGTAACATTTGTGAGCTGGTTTCATATTGTCGGAAAACCAGGCTCAGTTGTTACTCATCATAACATTATAGTTAAACTGTATTCAGCTGTACAATATGTTCAAAAATTAATGCATGTAACCCATATGATAATCAACTGCAGACCTTTTTTTCATGCTGATAAGCATTTAGGAGGGTCTGGACAAAATCTGGAAAAATATTTTGAGGGTCATAATTATTTGGACATATTGTCTGGCAGTCTCTTGTGCTAATAACTAAAAAACATCAATGCTGTAATCTCAACTTGTGTGTAGATTATTATGTGTCAATTGTGACAAAGAGATCTACAAAAGAAAACGTCAGACTGAGACCCGCACCTGCTCCATGATGCTCAGGTCCTGACTTGGCAGATCCCACATCCCAAAGGTGTAGTTGTAGTCAGCGCTCAGGGGGTCGATGGTGCCCACAAGGTCTGGAAGATTCTGCCGTGCGGTATCCAACCTGTGCGAGACAAGGTATAATGCTGTCTGACACTTGGGTATAGGTTTGTTACTGTCTGCTATTGTACATTTTGACAATTAAATTAAAGCAAAGTCTGATGCCCTCAGCTCGCACTAATGAAGTAAAGCATTATTATCTTGCAGATTGGAGAATATTCTCATTTCATAACATACTCTAAAATATCTTCAAGCTTACGTTTATATTTTTTTCAAATCCAAACATTTTGAACCAAATAACTCCATTAAATACAATAGAAAAACTCTGAATCAGATTATTCACAAGACAATATCACAAACTATGCTTCCACAGCCTTCGCTTTAAGGAATTATTTTATTGACAAAATACTTTCATGACTCACAAATTTAGAAAATCACTCCAAAAAATTTTTTTACTGAGGCACCATGGCTCCCAGTCAAAGTAAAACCCTGGCATCCTTAGGGATCCACAATATCATTTCGTGTGCCAATTTCTTGACAAGAAATAGAGAGTTCCTGTTATAAACGTAATCATTACATATAAAAGTGCAGTACTATCAGCTATTTCATTACTTTACAAAAAACTCAAATTTGCTAAAAAGAGCCTTGAAACTAGTATCTTACTGTTCCTCTGGGTAACACCCTGGAAGTTGTTTACTTTTCTAGTTGTTATTCATCCAAGGCATAAATTTCATGATTTACAGTTAATTCAGAGATGCAAACGTGGCAAAAGGTTAAATGTTTCAATGTCAAGGTATGAACACTACAATACAAGTCTCGCTATTCCCTGCCACTTAGATGCCCTGATCTGTAAAACGTACCATTACCCATACACACGCATAAAAAAACCCAGGTCATCTTGATTGTTTCATCTACATCTATTTATAAATTGTTTTTGAAGCAAAACAATTCAGTCTACATTATCTATTATCAAGTGATCTAAATTATAAACTTTCAAAACAAGTTACACAATTATAGTGAAAACAATTTACATATTTTTGATATTTTTATGTTTCCTCAGAGCACTGTTCAAGACTGACATACTTGAGGTCAATGTCAAAAGTTGATGTCTTCAGGCCAGACAATGCCAGACGCGACCACAGTGTTGATGTGTCATCTGGAAAATATGACAATGTTGGCTTCAGTATAAGAGACAATATTATATGTTATCACAATCAGTGGAGGTTGATATTGGGAATTATCAGACCCGTGTAAGGTTTAATCCAAAGAGCTGCCTCCAGCTTGGGACAAAACCTAACAAGGGTCTGATAATTCCCCAGAGCTACAGATAACTTTTTGGGTCATTGAGTTATGTACGCGCTTGTGTTCATCTCAATATTGGGTATACTAATTTTTCTTTGAGTAACCAAATAAATTGTACCCACCTCACTCAAACTCAGTTGGGTATTTTGTCATTTTCCATTAATTGTAAAAATATAACATAGTTTAAATGTTGGTTTAGGTGTTTGTTGTTTATATTTGATCAGTAATATGAGAAACGATAAGAAAGACTGCAAGTTGCCGAGTTCATGTGCTGAAATAGAACCTCTCAATATACCTTAACATTTTCATGTGTACGCATGTAAGATCAAATGTATTGAGTATTTACAAAACATCAAGCGTACATGTACGCAATAGACGTAATAGGAATTGAGTTTTCACATGAATATTTGCGTAATTTACGCAGATACGCAGCTTATCTGTTCCTCTGATTCCCAATGTTAACCTCTACTGAATGTGATGATGCATTTATCTTACTGAAATGTTTCAAGCTATCATCAATAAAACAAACAAAAATGCACCAACATCTTTTATTCATAACAACGATGAAACGGGGTCAAAATCCAAACAAACTGGTTCAGGGGTGACAATGGCATGCACCAACTGACGTGAATGGACACTATTCATGTGCCGTGGTTTTAGACATTGATTGGACCTCAGAAAAAATTAACCACCAGGTGGGCGGTATATATGGAAATTTGTTTAGGTTCACGTAGACCAATCAGAGATCAAAGTTCTTACATGAGGTAGGATAACAGTTGCAGTGAGGCGTGGGTTCAGTTATCTCATAGTTTGTCTCACCACAGAGACAGAGATGTTTGTTTCAGAACAGAAACATTTGTCTCACCGAAGAGAAACTGGTGCTGTTTCCTGAACACCTTCACCGTGCCGTACATGAGTGTGGCTGACAGGTACAGGGAAAACCGCGGTCGGGTCTGCCCTCGTGTTGTAGACGGCACACGCAGCAGTATGTAGTCAATGATGTCATCACTGAAAGGTTTTAATATTGTAATGAAAATCAACTTGGACAAATAAAATTCATCAATATACTGGTATACTTCATCAATCAGTTCAGTTCTGAAAGCAACTAAATCTGAGTGAGTGAGTGAGTGAGTGAGTGAGTGAGTGAGTGAGTGAGTGAGTGAGTGAGTGAGTGAGTGAGTGAGTGAGTGAGTGAGTGAGTGAGTGAGAGTGAGTGAGTGAGTGTGAGTGAAGGAGAGTACACCAATATTCCAGCTAAAAGTGCTGGCCTGTACATATTCCTCTTCATCAGGATGAACCAGAATTCAATACCCACAGTTTCTGGTGTACCCAAGGGATATTTGAAAGTCACTGGTGCCAACCAAGTGTAAGGAGTACGTCCTGCCCTAGACTGGTTGGACCTGCAGCTCACACATTATGCAAACACAAGTATGTGTGCGTTGCCCTGACACCCCACTGAACTGCTGGCATGTAAACAAGTCAGACAATCAGTGCAATGTTTCCGCTGGCATATTTTACTGCTGGACATTGTGAGGCATTTTAAATACCGGCCATTTGTAAGTTTTACCGGTCAAGTGATCACACATTTCATTGTGCACGAGACCTTGCACCATAACAACCAATCATAAATGTAGAGGGTATCGCAATGCGTCAATGCCTGGGGTTTTCGAGAACTGCTGGGTTTTTTTTTTATGCCATTGTGAAAAAATAATGTTTTTCGAGGAGAAATAAGACTGACAGAGGTAATTAGAAAATTGATTGTAAAATGCCGGACAACGATGACCGACAGCCTTTGAAATTACCAGACATTCCAACTTTGTACCAGTCAAAATCTTGTATATCCTGGATAATGGAAACACAGCAATCAGGTGATGAACCATAAGTCTAGTCACATGATTGTACATTCGAGTAAAACAATACAAACTCATCACAATTGGGATGCAGTGCAGTGTATGTTCATTCTGATCTACCTCTGGTATCCAGGAGCTACATTTAATAAATCTGATTTTCTTAATTGGTAGCCCTACCATGTTCTTCTGACTCTGACGCTCATATACTCTCGACGAGTCAGTTCAGATGATCGAGTAGCAGCCACCCTGAAAAGTAGGAGAAATCACTATGCAGCATCCAACCGAAATGGATAAACAATGGCCTCTTACATCTCAAAGGTTTTAGCAACACTTAGTTGATGATTCTTTAACCCCTAGGAAATACCAATTTATTTATATTTACAAAAGAAAATAAGAAGATATTCTTTAAAGGTTGTCAATTCCATTTGCAAAGCTGAGTCGCCAATTTATACATATTACAAGCCAAAGAGTCTAAAAGATGATAGAAAAATTCATTGTTTGCTCTACTTTGAATTTTGTTCCATTTAGTGAACACTTTCTACATGGCATTGTGTATTCACTGCCCTTGGTAGAAAAAAATCACAAGCAAGGCTGACAATGTTGCTTTTTTGGTTTGGTTTGTTTTTTACTTTTATGGGGTGGGTGGTCCTATTTATGAATAATATTATTAACACTAGTGAATAATGAGGGTTATTGGTTGTTTCTACCTCTGCTTACTTGGGTCCACAGATCTGTTATCTGTGTGTATGACAACCTTATGGAAGATGATTGGACCAGAAATAGTAACAGATATGACAACTCACCACACAATACCAAATTTTCCGCCCTCGCTTCTGCAGAATGTCATGACTGTAGAACATGGTCAGCTCTCAGTGACCCTTTCCAGGAAGCTTGAAAGTTAATGCTGTAATAAATAATTACAAACTAGAAATGTTTCAACTGATCTGATCACTATTTATATCAGGATGGAAACACCTTTAATCACTTAATGATCTATTAGATATATCTAGTGGTATATTTGATTTTGTATTTTATAGTGTAGATAATATTTTTGGTCAACAATGAGTGCAGTTGCCATGTAAAATCAATGGTTTGTGCATAAGCAAATGCATTTACATGCTAGAAATACGAACTATTTCACATTTTACGAACAGACATACCGATCAGATATCCACTTCTTGCTGAACAAGTTTGACAGATCAAGTTCCTACAGTCTACACACACATTCGAAACATCAAATTTCCCGCCAAAAAACACTATTCGTTAGGAGCGCGAGAATAAAAAGTTGGCTTCCTGAAGTGAAAATGAAGCAGATTCAGAGGGTTTACAAATATTGGAGCAAAGCCACAATATCTTTTAGTTATACAACACTTTATAAATCTTTTTTGAAGTCCACAAATGCTATTAACTGCAGCTACAGATAACATATTTATACAGTTGTATTTATCTAAATCCATTGAATATTTCTGCTTTTGCAATCAACAGAAAATAAACGTGCCCTTATCCTACTTCCGGAGCCACACGTTTCCGTCTCAAAAGACTAAAGTGAAAATAGGGTTCTCAGATAAACTTACGCGGGTTTTAAAATAGGTTTGTTGCAACACATTTCGTCAGGAGATTTACTGAATTCAAAATGCCGCCACCAGACAGGTAATGATCATGTTTCCCAGTTATTAATTAGACATTTTTCGTTATCCGTTCTAGATATTTTCGTGGAAGACAGAAAACCAGGACGATACCGATGATGACTGTTGGTACTAAACAGTATGCTTCGAATTCCGACATTGTGTGACTGCCGCAATATAAATGTATGATATAAATTCATTATCAAATATCAACAATAATATTTTCTTCACGATATCCACCACAAGAAATATAAAAACATTCCCAGGAACAGCTTTCTCAATATATCTGTTTTCAGATATCCAATGTGAGAACAGCTTAATAGAAATAATGAAGTGTCGCAAACTGAAACAAGGGCCATGGCCACACCATCTGCCTTTACAGCATCTGGTGTTAGTGCTAGGCATAGGCTTTCAACAGACCGAATAATTATGGAATTTTGACGTTTGCTCATACAATTCAAACTTTTGCACTTAAAGTTACTATAATCTGAAATGTATTTGTGGCATTGCTTAGCACTAACACAAAGGTTAGTGATGAAAGCAGTTCCAAAGTTGGAGTTTGTCAAAAGGAGGACTGCCTCCCAGTTTGGGAGAAACATCACAGGAGTTAAAGGGTAGATCTTTCAGTTATGTTTATACCATGAATAGTGTTTGTTGCTTGTTAAAAGAATAATACAGTTATGTTACTGAAGCAATTTTTAAGTAAGCATCAACTACTTAAGCATCATTTTAAAACAAATTACAAGATTAATAAAATCATGTAGCATTATCAAGTTTTATCCATTTTATTTCATCAATAAAATTATATGTATCCTTGTAATAACACTGGGTTCAGTTATATCTATCTGACATAATCATTACCCGATTTCAAGAGCAAATTTTTTTATTTGTATAGTTATTTCGTAATGTTTGAGATGATGTACATATTCAGAGAGCTTTGATAAATATTTGCAATCTGTTTCAGATGGGAAAAATACACAGCACTTGGTAATGTTATAAAGGGGACAAGGATCGTGTGCTTCAAGGTGCCCCTCAAATATGTAAGAGCCACTCTTTACCAGATAGCATGAACATCACCAGGTTCACAATTACTCTACTGGTTAATCATGGTTATTAATTAGTTTTGGTTAAGAGACACATGTTTTACATTGTTAAAACTGTAAGTTTTGTTGTCGTGATTCAGTTAATTTCTCAAGCATCCCTAATCTCCATGACTTATAACTAAGGTTTGCTGATTGATAATAGCTTTGTTTTAATTGCAGCCTTTGGTTGAAAAGTTACCAGAAGAAGAAAGGTGAGAGTTTTAGATGAAACTGTCTCAAAAAACTAAACTAAACTAAACAAAATGTTATGTTGGTAGTGCAATATTCTGTTCAATATTTATTTATGGGCAATGTCTTGTTCTACTAGTTATGTAGTGCCAGAGATAGAAACTAGTGCTAGAGTGTCTGCACTTAGTAAATTGTGTTGAGGACTAAAGTACTGTCGAAAATAGGAAAACATTTTTTTTTTGCTGTTACTCTGTATCCCTAAAATTTACACAATTGCAAATAGCATATGTCGAAATAATCCACATCGGCCTAACTGGGCGTTCAGTGGGATGCGTAATAGGATATCCAGAAAAGCATGTTTACTCGTAAAATCAGGCAAAAATTGAATAGCCTACAGCCACAAGGGGTCATCTCAAAGATATTATATGCGTTTTCTTGTGTGTTGAATATGTCTCACATGTTGATGAACATCTAACGTGTCTTTCTTTCATAAAGTTGATGTTGAGATATGTAAAATAGTATGATACCCATAGAAAGGCTTAAATCAGCCATCATATTGAATGTCTCAAAAGGTAGGTAGCATGGCCACCGGAAGATTGACAGGACTTGATATTATTTGTAAATTGTTACTTGCCCAGTTTAATTCCCCTAAAGGATTATCTCATCTGAGCTGATATCTCTATACCCCAGCCCGACCCCAACCATCTTCTGCGACACCCGACCTGGTTTTGCTTTTGAGACGACCCCCATGTCTGTTTGTCTTTATAGTGGTAGTGAGACTCCATGGCAGCTACATCCTTAAGAGTTCACAATTAAAAATATTATTTTGTACGTCATCTATCGTTTATAATGAAGCTAAGTCTAATTTCAAAATGGGAAATTAAAAAGTGTCCTTTGTAATACAATATCATCGCACACTAATTTGCATAAAGCCAAGGTCTGTTCCAAATAAGTCGACTTGGACTTAGGAAAAAACCTCATTGCTCATTTCTGCACTAATCTCTCCTCAGTAAAGTCCTTTTTTCACGTTTCCTATCTCCCTACCACTGAGACTGTAGTTAGGCCGAACTTGGTTTAACAGATATTTCACACTTTCAAATATTACCTACATAAATTGTGGATATAAATGTGAAAAAACAGTTTTTTTCTATTTCCGACAGTTCTTTAGTAAAAATCACTATTGATAAGAGGTGGCTGAGTCTCCTGCAGCACTCCCATTTGCAGAGTTGCTTCCCTTGGGCTCCCAAGTTATGCTATATGTCAACATGTAGTTATACACAATTCACTCTCTCACTCATAATGAAGCATTATGGAATCAGTTTGGCAGATGAAAGTCAACAGGTGCAGTGAAATATACATTTCATTTACATAAACCCTAGTTAATGAGTCAGATTGCAATGAATGGTCCTGTTTCAGATTCACCCCAACGGCCTTGGTAAAAAAGATGGCTGACTCAGGCCACAACCTTGGACTTGTGATAGATCTGACCTTTACCAGAAAGTACTACAACTCTAAGGTTAGACTGATCACAACCTATAATATATAATAATAGCTAGTGTATATTAGTGGTGTTCCGATTAATTGAAATAATTAAAGATTGGTTGCAGTGAGCAAACGTCCAGGCAATTGATCACATTTTCTCATAATCATACACAAACAGTTTTGGAACTACTGTTTTAGTGTTTGAAACACTTGACGATGGACCATATCTTATAAGTTGTCAGAGCCTGAAACAGTGTTTAGTGCTTAGATAACTCACTTCACTTACTGAAAGACCGCCTCCGTGGTGTAGTGGTTGGAGCGTCCTACAAGCAGCCGCACATACACATACACACGCATGCATGTCGTCATATGAGCGAAATATTCTCAAGCACGACGTTAAACCCAATTTCACCTCACCTCATTTACTGAAATGTCATGACTGAATATTTCTTGATGATATTTCCTGATGAAGGAGCAAGCATACACTCTGAAGTGCCATGTTGTTCACAATAAAGATGTTGACATCCATAAATCTTGCTTTTCATATTTCTTGGAGACTCCAGGAACTTTATGTTCATTATATTAACCATCACTTTAAAGTAGCAAATTGCATCAGTTTAGATTGGAAGTGAAATTTACAAATATTACAAAAAGCAACAGATAATCATGTTATACTTATCTGCAATAACAACCTAAATAGGAAAATCTTAAAACTGACGCTAACCAATTTGTTTCGATTATTGCTCGTTGGTAACGAACCAATTATCAATTGTGAGATTTCAACTAATTTCCAACACATATGTATGTACTTGTACACCTTCAGATATATTTTGTGTGTGTTGACAACTGGCCAGTGAACAGGTGGAAAATCCTAAGGAGAAGTAGTATACTCCCCAAACTTATATAAACATGATATACAAGTCAAAAGTATTTTGTGGATTAGTTGTCCGCTTCCATTACCATGGTGACATGATCAAATAAAAGAGACTGATATCTTCATGTATCAAATTTATATCACAAGAAGACTTTAGAGCTTTTATGATAAAAGTAGCTCCCAACATGTTTGACAGTAAGTGGCAATAATTGTACACTTAGACACTATTTTTTTCCATACTAAGGCCCTAAAAATACATGTTATGGTTCTGATAACGTCAATCTCAAAACTAGGATGGATATTGAGGGATTCTTTTCTTTATATACAATTCATAAATCTATATCGAAACGTCGCTCTCACGAATAAAAAGAAGTTGTTATCCATAAATTGGCGATATTGTACTTCCCAACTTCTAAAATGCCACTCAAAGAAGTTGTCTATACAGTGGACTCTGTCAATACCGGCCTCTGTAAACACCGGCACTCTGTCTATATCGGCACAAAGTTTCAGTCCCGACAGGGAACTTATCATAAGCGAACCTAGCTAAACCGGCACTCTGTCAAAACCGGCATTTTTATTTGGTCCCGACTGATGCCGGTATTGACAGAGTACACTGTAGTATATTGTAAACCAAAATTCACTGTGTTCTTTAATCTGATTGGTTGAAAAACGTGATCAAATGGTATTTGAGTCCCGGAAATTCTCTACGTATTAATACATACAAACATCGCTCGCACCATTGTATTGTTACGTCGTCAGCTGTGATGACGTCATTAAAATCATATTGTGACGTAAAGTCCGAATGACGTCACAAATGAGCAGTTCCAGATGCTACCATGGGAGACAGCCGAAACGGCCGGCTGATGACATTTCACTGCTGTACCCGTACTCGATGTCAATGAGAGCAGACACAAAAACGTGTGTGGACCTTTGGGTTTACTTTTGTTTTATTACAATGTCGATAAACATCATGTCTTGGCCAATTTCGGGTGTTATTGAGTATTTGAAATTGAAGCACGGGAATATTTCATTTGAAACCTCCGGCTGACGCCGTCGGTTCCAAATGAATTCCCGTGCTTCATATACTCAATAACACCCGGAAATTGGCCAACACATGATGTTTATCTCCAAACTGTTCAGTCTGTTGATTAAGAAGGGAAATGTCAAGGTGAATGGAAGTCACCTATGATGAAAGTGTAGATTTTAACATAAACCACAGAGATTATGACAAAACCTGTTTATATTTCGGCCCAATATACTGGGTGTCAGAAAAAATAATGCATATTGCGCTAACCCTGGCAGTGAAATGTGGCAAAATTATGGAGAACAAGATCCAATGTATAGCATGTAGTTACTTCCCTTTGCATGCACACAACTTTACTGCACATCTTGTTATGGGAGTAGTATATTGAGCTTGAACTTTGAAATTGAAGCTCATTGTATGCGAGTGTTATGCGCACACTTGTGATCAAAGACTGTATTCTGGACTACCATGTACAGTTTTAATCTGTTTGATATTAAATGCCGCCATGTATGTATTTTGTGGTATTTTCATGAGCACTATTTATGTGTTCATTGATTTATATTGTAACTGTACAATAGTGTAAAGAATGTTAATTCTGATTCACTGGATATTAAAACAAATTGGCAATTATGACCATTAGGGCTGCAACGATTCACCCAGACCTTGATTTGATTTGATTTTCGATATTGGCCCCTCGATTCGATCATTTTTCGATTTGATTCTTCATGCAAGTTAAACATCAGACACTCGGAATCGGCTTTTTTAGCGTGAAATCCATCGTCAACTTGGTGATGTCTACTAACAACAATTCTCATCGGATAATTAACCTGGCGTCAACCAATGTGCCCAGTTTCACCTTATTTCAGCGCTCGAAACTGCTCAAGTTGCAGTCACAATTGCGTTCTTGCAGTGTGGAAATAATTGAAATAGGTATTCAAATTTTGAATCAAAATAGTGATAATGATTTTCGATGAATCAAACTGAATCGTTGCATTCCTAATGACCATAATAACATATGTACATCTGTCATTTAAGAACGCACTCATGGTTAACTGGGTATTTGGCATGAATATATTGTTAATGCTTTTGATAGTCTATATGGTTAATGCAGTAACACCAGGGTAACTGCAAGTTGTGAAATACATCTGTACCCAAGCTTGGTCTTCCTGCCTGAAGAGTTACCATGGCAACCACCCCAGCTGCTTCAATATGGATAAAGGGATACAACTACCAGTAGTGTTCTTATCAAGGAGACCTGTGAAGATCCGGGGTAGAATAGGTCTTCAGCAACCCATGCTTGCCACAAAAGTCGACTATGCTTGTCGTAAGAGGCGACTAACAGGATCAGGTGGTCAGGCTCGCTGACATGGTTGACACATGTCATCGGTTCCCAATTACGCAGATCGATGCTCATGCTATTGATCACTGGATTGTCTGGCCCAGACTCGATTATTTACAAACCGCCGTCATATAGCTGGAATATTGCTGAGTGCGGCGTAAAACTAAACTCACTCACTCACTCACTCACTCTTATCAAGGAATATCAATATATAGTGAATCCCCTTCCAAGGTTGAAAATAATAATAATAAAGAGAACAAATGGCTGTCTGCCCACACCTTTTTATCCCCGGCATGTAATGCTGTCTGTCCGTCCGTCCGTCCGTAATCATTTTGTTTTCAGAGCATAACTCAAAAACCGTTCAATATTTTTCAACAAAAATTGGTAGATATATCAAACAGAACCTAAGGTGGTGCCTTTTGCTATTTACAGAATTTTGTCATTTTATTTTGCTCGGTTTCCATGGAAACATTTTGGACTTAGTCTTAAAGGGGGATGGGCTTTGTTTCCAGAGCTTAACTCAAGAACCGTTCAATATTTTTCAACAATACTTGGTAGATATGTCAAACAGAACCTTAAGTTGTACCTTTTGCTATTTGCAGATTTTTGTCATTTTTATTTTTCCCGGTTTCCATGGAAACGATTCGGTCTCTTAGTCCCAAAAGGGATGGGTGGGCTTAGTCCCAAACTCAAGAACCGGGTGGGCTTCATTTCTGGTGCCTTTGCTATTTGCAACTTGAAAATTCGTTCAGTATCTTTCAACAGAAACTTGAAAAAGTTCAGCAGATATATGCAGATATATTAGGCAAATTTTGAAATGGTGCCTTTTGCTATTTACAGATATTTGGCATTTATATTACTCATGATTTCCATGGAAACGATTTGGACTTAGTCTAACAAAAATCAAGCTGGACTTTAAGTAACTGTCAGATGATTTGTTCTTTCAAATATGTAGGGGCCAGGGGGATATGTCATCTTCTGATGACTCTTGTTTTTTAATTGATACAGAAGCATGAATCAGTTGATGGCATTAAGATAGACTGGTGACTATATGTCCTCGATAGATCTAGAAGCATGTGTTTGTTGTGTTGACAGGAGCTGACAGACAAAGGCGTCCAGTACGAGAAGATATTCACCAAGGGGCATGAAGTCCCCAACGACTTTGTGTTTGGCAGGTAGTTGATTCTGATCCTTCTGTTTGTGGATTAATTAGGGTTCTTTGCCTCTAGGCAGGAGACCTATTGTAATTGTTTGGATTATTATTATTATGATTATTTATTATTCCGCCGATTTTATACCAAACATACCTCCTGAACCAATGCTTTGAATCGCTTACACAAAATCACACTGAAGTCTTAGGGATTCCAGAACACTAATTCTTTTGACCGTAGACCCAAGAACAACTGAGATACAGCCTTTTAAAGAGGGAACTATTTCTTCTCCAGATACGCATAAAAATTGACAATGGACGCAACAAAATGTATTAGCGCATCCACAGGGACTCAGAAAAAGTCCAAATACTTTTTGTAAAACTTCCAATCAAGTGACAATAAGTTATCACTGAGTTTGCTACTAGCTGGGTTATGGTATTATTTGCAATTTAATTACTGTAACAATGTGATGATCATGATACACAATACAATAACAGTATTAATGATAATATTTAAGTGTCTGGGACCCCATTTTGTTGTCCAGGACCCTGAAAATTAAGAGTATGAGTCCAAGGGACCCTCAAATATAGGACTCAAGGTAAATCCCTGTATATGTTGTTTGTAATGGACACTTTCCCAGCTAATGTTAATTTGTGTTGGAGTTAGAATTGCTTATCTTATTTCCAGATTTGCACATGTGATTGATCAATATTTGGAACAAAGCTCAGACAGCAGTAAGTAAAGCATGTTTCCCACTTAAGCTGACAGTGTTATAACATTTCCTGTTTTGAAAGTGCTAATGTTGATGTATATATTGAAGTACACATATCTCAGATGATTTCTTGAAGTATGTGATTGTGTGAGTCGTCATGAAATGTGACATGAAACATATATAACTCATTTATAAGTAAGTGTGACTTAAATATGACATTTGTCAAGTATTTAATAAACCTTCTGTCACTTCACTGTATGATAACTTTATTAACATAAATGCCCTTTTGTAAAGGAGGCCCTCAACTCAGAAATACAAAATACTAGCAGTATACAACTTCTTATCAGTCATGTTGAGCATGGTAATTGACAATTATAGTTCAATTACAAAAACAGCTCACTGGCAAGAATGAGAACAAATGAGAGTTATCTCCCCTAGACTTGTGACTGCAGTTATGCGTGACTCATCAATTATGTGAGATATATCTGTTTCAGCATCAGTGGTTGGCATCCATTGTACCCATGGTGTGAACAGGACCGGCTATCTGGTCTGCAGGTATATCATCTTCACTCCTCTTGTTTGTTATGTCACATGGTTTGGTGAGATTAACACAGTGGTCAGACCTGTGTACTTTCGACGTCGTAATCAATAAGAGCAGGAACTAAGGAGTTAAGGATTAGTTAAAAGTTGAATTGTAAACGACAAGGTCTGGACATGCTCCTCATAGAATTAGATAGAGTGCTCTATTGTCAATGATATTAATGGTCTACTTAGAGCATGATGTCTAGATGGAAAAGGCTTAATACAAATAGACTGGGGTGGTGAGGTAGCTTATTGGTTAAAGTGTTCGCTCGTCATGCCAATGACCCGGGTTCAATTTCAACATGGGTACAGTGTGTGAAGCCCATTTCTGATATCCCCATATATCTGATATTGCTGGAAAATTGCTAAAAGTGACGTAAAACTAAACTCACTCTCTAATAAATAAATAGACTAGTAGTTAAAGTGTTTGCTTGTCCAGCCGAACCCAGGTTCGATTCCCTACATGGGTTGTATATGTGAAGAAGATTTCTGATATTGCTGGTATATTGGTAAGGTAGTGTAAACCACACAAGTCATGACTGAGAGTGTTGTGTGTTTGTGTTTCAGGTACATGGTGGAGAGCCTCAGTATGCCACCTGATGATGCTATTGCAGGTGAGTACATTTCTTGTATATCTTGTACAGCTGATGAAAGAACATCTCACAGGCTCACAGAACTCCCGACATGTGGAAGATTGATGAAAAATATGTAAATATCTCTCCATAACCCAATTAATGTTGATTTGCATGTATACATAAACACTAAACAGTGTCAGTAGTGTAATAACACAATACTAAATTACCTAGCGTACCTTGGTTCATGTATGATTTTTATTTGCTGATGTAGGCATCATGTATATATCAACTTAAATAGAACTATGTCTCGTCTATTGTAATTTAGACATGTACATGTTGTTGTGAGCTTATGTGACATGACACTTGGGGTATTATATGGGCAAATTTATAGCCGTCTGAAACAGAATTTTGATTGAAATACCTAATAGTCAGGATTAGGGGTGAAACGGTAAACTGCGGTATAAGTAGAATCATGGTATTTTGCCTTTGGTTCGGTATACCGTAATGCAATCCAAAAATTCGGTATTTTCGGTTTTTGTACCATCATTTTATTAACAATGTTAAACCTCTTCTAAAATGCCCAGAACAGAATCGTTCGTCAAAATCTATGCATGTCTTTGCAAGATGTCAATTTTCTGCATAATGAACATATATCATTTACCGAACCAAAACGAAGCAAACCAAAGGCCTTGTACTGCATTACGTACCATACCGTTTCACCCCTAGTCAGGATCCTAGTGAGTTGGAATGTATTGAATACTTGAAGTGAGTGAGTTTAGTTTTACGCAGCACTCAGTAATATTCCAACTATATGGCAGCAGTCTGTAAATAATCAAGTCTGGACCAGACAATCCAGTGATTAACAGCATGAGCATCGATCAACGCAATTGGGATATGATGACATGTGTCAACCAAGTCAGCGAGCCTTACCAACCAATCACGTTAATCGCCTCTTACGGCAAGCATGAGTTACTGAAGATCAATTCTAACCCAGGTCTTCACGGGTCGAATATTTGAAGAAATCTATCAGTACCCCGAAGGAGATGCATGCAACTAACTACTGATAGGCTCAGGTATGTATCTGGTGTCCTAGGAACATGCACTCGCACAAGTTTTGACAAGTGGCATCTGTTTCAGCCTTCAATGAGGCACGAGGACATGATGTGGAGAGGGAGAACTATATCGAGGACCTCCGCACCAGGACACCGTGAGTAACGTAATTCAGTAAATGCCTTGATTGTTCATAACTTCAAGCTGTTTAGTCAAATTATTCTACTATATTGTCTCGCTCATTCCACTTGTACAGACAATTGAAGACATTTGATGAGTAGATGCATTGTGCCTCACTCTCCGTGCAGAGTGGCATTAATTTGGCATGCCATAAACCAATGACCAAGGGTTCAAATACCAGGTTGATTCCAAATTTATAACACTGTACTCAGGGACACTCGTGGTCCAGTCAGCTAAGGCATAATGGTTGTGTCCCTTGGTTGTGTCAGGCTCCGGTGATGTTGTGACACTTGTGGGGTGGAATGCCTTATGTTTGTGAGCACCGTACCTACGCTAGTCATTTCACCCAAGTGATGTATGTCTAACACCTGCCTCTTTTCATGATTTCATTCCACTTCAAGCAGACATGACGTAACATGACTACTTCTAAAATTGATTTTAAACCTTACTCACTCACTCGCCAAGGGTTTTCCTCTACCATTAGGCCAGTTTCTCAATACCGCTTGACCCAAAAATTCGACCTGACCCTAAGATTTTTTTGTTTTTTACATTAGAGAAAATGCAACTTTGACTCTCAAAATATGCATGAATTTTTTCACTCTTCTAAGTTTTGATTTTCTATCAGAGAAAAGGTGTAAATTTCCACAGAAATCAAGGGGTTTTGGACATGAAATAAAATAAAATGTAAAAAAAAAATCCATGCGCCCAACCCATATTTTTGGGAAAAAGTGATGAGGAGCAAGAATATTTTTTATGTGGCCTTAAGCTGACTCCAAATTGATCATACAAATGTGACATGTGGCTGTCATGATGTGACTATTTCCAAAGGTCAAATATCTTGCATCTTTGCAGAGGTGAGAAAACCCCATTTGATCCATCTGCCGCTCCGCCTGAGGATACCTCACCTGACACTAACAACAGAAGGATGATGGACAAGTTCTCGCACCTGGATACAAGGCAGAAAACTCCTACAGTAAACTTCTGGAAAAACATCGTAGTCCCTATGACAACCAGAATTCCAATCATTCACAGCAGAGTGAGCGAGATCACGAGATGAGGCCTCACCGAGGTCAGCCAAGGAACGACGGCAGGAGGTCACAACCATGGCAACAGAGATATGGTGATGGTGGTGGTGGCTATCCAGGGAATTGTTATAGTAGTTACCGAGGCAATGACAATCGCTGCCACCAAGGTTATGGGGGTTACCAAGGTAACAGGTATGGTGGTTACGGTCAATCTACCCACTATGATAGCCACAAACGTAGGCGTCGCATGGCGGAGATCATTATCAGAATAATGATTATGCTTATGATGGGAACTATTCATACGATGTTGACTTTTCTCAAGAGGAAGGTCATGGACAGAATGGAATGAACAGTAAAAAAAGTGCATATATAAAGCAACATTGGAACAATGAAGACTACCGAAGCCCAATGAAGTATGCAGACTGGTCAGCTGATGACACAGATCGGTATGACAGAAGTGGGTGGAGCAGTGGTCCTAGGGGTGGCAGGCGGAAGCAGGGGGGTTATAACCGAGGGGGATACAACCGAGGGGGTTACAAGCAGGGGGGGTATAACCGAGGGGGCCACAACCAAGGTGGTTGGAGTTGAGGCTGTGACCCACCGGTGTGACCCAAAACTGCCTGTGATGACAACTCCTTATGTTGTACTATTTTATGTGTATATCCATTTGAGTAGATTAATCTGCTTAAAAAAATGTGTTAAAAATACTCATGAGAAATGATTCACAAGAAAAAGATAATTCCCCTCTGCAGCTTCTGTATGTTTTGGGCAAAAGGATATTCCTAGCAGCTGCCAGCATGACAACATAATATGTCTGCTTGCATCATGATGAATATGAAAACCAGGACATCCTGATCTCTTTGATGAACATTTTAGGACAACTGGTAGCTCACTTTTAACCATCCTCGATAATCTCCAGGGTATACATTACGATAAATTTCACTAGTACCCTGGATGCATCTATGGCTCAGCCCTATAATTTTATTATCTCCCTTTGCTGGTTATGCCTTCTCACAGAAGCCAATCAGATACGCTGTTACAACCGAGCTTGCCAGTGTCAACAAAGATAGCGGCCACAGCCGTGAAGATTTGCTCGCTGTGCGACTCAGATTTAGGGAAAAAATCATGCAGACAAACTGACAGATCTGAAACCTTAAAAAAATATATGCAAGAACTCCTATCTCTTTCAGGGTACCTCTGCAACAATTGTGTTGCCAAGTTTAATAAGTTAGATAAAAGAAGCGAAAGTGAGTTATGATAGAAGCCTTGTGATTGTAGGCTCAACTTCCCAGCATAGACACCTGATTGGATTAAAAGCTAGCAAAGGGAGGTAATAAAGTAGACGTATCAATTATCGAGGATGTTTTTTACCAGAGGACCATTTATTGCATGCCAACACGACTATGCCAAGTGTTCATGATTGAGAATTTTTGGGAAAGGAAATATTGTGTTGTGTGAAGCATTATTTATTATATGCATAGAATGTGAATCAAAAAGGTAACAAACAGTTGTGCTGGCACATGACTAAATTGGAATCACTTAAACCACCCAGGTGCAAATTATCGGGTCACCTTCATTGCAGATGATCTTAAATATTTCCAATGGATTTTATATTATCTTCAGCCATCAAGAATATGTTTTTAATTAATGCCCCCAAAAATATATTTTATCTTTATGACTTGAGACTTTCTGGAGTATCACTGTAACTTGTAATTACTAAGTTTATATCTTTTTCTAGTGTCCCCCTCTGTGATGTTGATGGAATATTGCTAGAAGCGATGTAAAACCTTACTCACTCGGTTTAATAACTGGTTTGTAAAAAGCCCTTCACAAATACAGGTCTAGGTTGAAGGTAAGCCTGGTCAATGTGTTTTGCATATGTTTTAAGAATATCAATGGACTAGTGTAACTTGTAATACCATGTCCTACCCAAAACAAGAAATATAATTCAATAGCCAGCTTATGACAAGAAAAAGGAAGCAGGGGGTGTCGGGGGTCAGTCCCACATACACATTATCACCCTTGAGTCACTCTGTGGAACAACATCGCAGAGGTCATTTCCATCTAATGTACAGGTTATTTGTCTCTTATGGCAAGCATTGGGTACTGAGGGGTTATTTTGCCTTGATATACGCAGTGGAGAGTCAGATTATGTTAATATGATACAGATGAATAAAATTTTTTGTAAAATGTCTTCCTGTGTAATGTGGTAAAATGTCTTCCTGTGTAATGTGTGATGTGGTTTGTGTGGAATGTTTATATCTTGACAATATCAGGAACAGTTGCAATCTCGCCATGGCCTTTCTGACAACACAAGTTAAAGAAGGTTCTAGTGGTGAAGTATTTACTTACTGGCCAACACTTTAGATCAACAGATTAAAATGTGCCTACCTCATGTAGGTGTCTAGTTATCCCCCGCTGCACGTTTAGTGCGAAGCGGAGGATATAGTATTAGGCTCCGTCCGTCCGTTACGTATGGATTGGAATATCCTAAGAACCGTTGACTAGATTCTTTTCATTCTTGGTACCTGGGTCTTTCAGCAAAACTTGGCAGATATGTGGGGCAGATCCCAAAGTGGTGCCTTTTGCTATTTGCAGATTTTTGTCATTTTTATTTTTCCCGGTTTCCATGGAAACGATTCGGACTTAGTCTCAAAAGGGAGGGGTGGGCTTCGTTTCCGGAGCACAAATTGAAAATCGTTCAATATCTTTCAGCACAACATGGCAGATATATGAGACAGCTGTTGAAGTGGTGCCTTTTGCTATTTGCAGATTTTTGTCATTTTTATTTTTCCCGGTTTCCATGGAAACGATTTGGACTTTGTGTATAAGCTGGACTTTAAGTAACTGTCAGATGATTTGTTCTTTCAAATATGTGGGAGCCGGGGGGATATGTCATCCTCTGATGACTCTTGTTAAGTTTGATTTGATAATGTGCGGCGGGGAATTATGTCACCTTAATGACAACTGCTTGTTACAAAGTTGGTCCACCTCCCATATGTGGGTTTCTAGGTGTAAAGTGGGTCCACCTTCCATATGTAGGTTTCTAGGTGTAAAGTGGGTCCACCTACCAAATGTAGGTTTCTAGGTGTAAAGTGGGTCCACCCTCCAGATGTAGGTTTCTAGGTGTAAAGTGGGTCCACCTCCCATATGTAGGTTTCTCGGTGTAAAGTGGGTCCACCTCCCATATGTAGGTTTCTCGGTGTAAAGTGGGTCCACCTCCCATATGTGGGTTTCTGGGTGGGACCAAATGTGGGTCCACCCACCCATGTGTGGCTTTCTAGGTGTAAAGTGGGTCCACCTTCCATATGTTTCTTGGGTTCTAGGTGTAAAGTGGGTCCACCTCCCATATGTGTGGTTTCTAGGTGTAAAGTGGGTCCACCTTCCATATGTGGGTTTCTAGGTGTAAAGTGGGTCCACCTCCCATATGTGGGTTTCTAGGTGTAAAGTGGGTCCACCTCCCATATGTGGGTTTCTAGGTGTAAAGTGGGTCCACCTCCCATATGTGGGTTTCTAGGTGTAAAGTGGGTCCACCTCCCATATGTGGGTTTCTAGGTGTAAAGGTGTAAAGTGGGTCCACCTCCCATATGTGGGTTTCTAGGTGTAAGTGGGACCACCTCCCATATGTGGGTTTCTAGGTGTAAAGTGGGTCCACCTTCCATATGTGGGTTTCTAGGTGTAAAGTGGGTCCACCTACCATATGTGGGTTTCTAGGTGTAAAGTGGGTCCACCTCCCATATGTGGGTTTCTAGGTGTAAAGTGGGTCCACCTCCCATATGTGGGTTTCTAGGTGTAAAGTGGGACCACCTCCCATATGTGGGTTTCTAGGTGTAAAGTGGGTCCACCTCCCATATGTGGGTTTCTAGGTGTAAAGTGGGTCCACCTCCCATATGTGGGTTTCTAGGTGTAAAGTGGGTCCACCTCCCATATGTGGGTTTCTAGGTGTAAAGTGGGTCCACCTCCCATATGTGGGTTTCTAGGTGTAAGTGGGTCCACCTCCCATATGTAGGGTGTCCTAAAAGTGGGTCCACCTACCATATGTGGGTTTCTAGGTGTAACCTCCCATATGTGGGTTTCTAGTGGGTCCACCTCCCATATGTGGGTTTCTAGGTGTAAAGTGGGTCCACCTACCATATGTGGGTTTCTAGGTGTAAAGTGGGACCTTCCTCCCATATGTGGGTTTCTAGGTGTAAGTGGGTCCACCTCCCATATGTGTGGGTTTCTAGGGTAAAGTTTCTATATGTGTTTCTAGTGTAAAAAGTGGGTCCACCTCCCATATGTGGGTTTCTAGGTGTAAAGTGGGTCCACCTTCCATATGTGGGTTTCTAGGTGTAAAGTGGGTCCACCTCCCATATGTGGGTTTCTAGGTGTAAAGTGGGTCCACCTACCATATGTAGGTTTCTAGGTGTAAAGTGGGTCCACCTTCCATATGTGGTTTCCACCTTCCATATGTGGGTAAAGTGGGTCCACCTCCATATGTGGTGGTTGGGTCAGGTGTAAAAGTGGGTCCACCCTCCATATGTGGGTTTCTAGGTGTAAAGTGGGTCCACCTACCAAATGTGGGTTTCTCTAGGTGTAAAGTGGGTCCACCTTCCATATGTGGGTTTCTAGGTGTAAAGTGGGTCCACCTCCCATATGTGGGTTTCTAGGTGTAAAGTGGGTCCACCTCCCATATGTAGGTTTCTAGGTGTAAAGTGGGTCCACCTTCCACCATATGTGGGTTTCTGTAGGTTTCTAGTAAAGTGGGTCCACCTTCCATATGTGGGTTTCTAGGTGTAAAGTGGGTCCACCTCCCATATGTAGGTTTCTAGGTGTAAAGTTGGTCCACCTCCCATATGTAGGTTTCTAGGTGTAAAGTTGGTCAACCTACATATGGGAGCTAAGTGGGTCCACCTTCCATAGCCAAAGACTAAATCATATTTAAAGGATTTATATGGGTCCACCTACCAAATGTAGGTTTCTTGATGTAAAGTGGGTCCACCTGCCATTTGTGGGTTTCTCGGTGTAAAATGGGTCCACCTCCCATATGTAGGTTTCTAGGTGTAAAGTGGGTCCACCTACCAAATGTAGGTTTTTGTGGGTAACTAGGTGTAAAGTGGGTCCACCTTCCATATGTGGGTTTCTAGGTGTAAAGTGGGTCCACCTATATGTGGGTTTCTAGGTGTAAAGTGGGTCCACCTTCCATATGTGGGTTTCTAGGTGTAAAGTTGGTCAACCTACATATGGGAGTTAAGTGGGTCCACCTTCCATAGCCAAAGACTAAATCATATTTGAAGGAATTATAACGGTACACAATATACTCTGGACCAAACTAAATACCATGTCTAGCTGACAAGCCATGATCAAAATGAAATACTGCTGAAAGTGACATTCAACCTCACTCACTCACTCAGGATTACTTCATAATTAGCATTCCGGACAACCTGCTGGTGACATATGACAACACATGGCAATTGTTGGTGGAAATATTTTATTTCTCTTGAAAATAGCCAACTCTGACGTACATGGCAGTTGATCAGTCCTGGATGGCGACAGGTTGAGGTATTTGGGTAGTAGCTGGGGTAGCTTCAACACTTTGTACATATCACACTTGGCAAAATATTTAAAACAATTTCCTCACATCAACTAATTTATGTACAAGTAAACTAATTTTTCAAGAGTGAGTAAAGAATTTCATCTTGCATAAAATGACAACCTGACAAAAATATGTCCTTTTATGTTCATAAAATAAGTCAATTGTAGTCTTTATCATCAAGAATGTATAAAGACAAATTAACGGGTAAAAGTACAAAACTGATAACTACAGTACTGGTCCTAACAATTCATGGTGGACACTCAAGGCAGAGCAAAGCAAGCACACTTGTGTTGAAGTCACATAGCTTTTCTTCAGACGTTCAGCAACTTTAAAGGTCTTTCTGGAGGCTTATTTCACTTCTCTGAGATCACAAACAACCCAAGTAGAATTTTCCTAACATGACACCAGTATTTGTCCATGCATATGTCAATTCATACACAAATGGAGCTGCAGTTTGCTCCCATTTTGCCTCTTCTGTGCAATTTTACTGAAGTCAATTTTAGCCATTTCATCAGGTGACTGAAGGACCTGTCACATTAAACAACTAAGTCACTGTGTAATTCATGAATGATTGAGGAACGCTGTGTACATAAACTGTGAAGCATGGACGATGGTGGGAAAACCACAGCACAAAAAGTATACTGATCAACTTTTCATAAACAGATATTTCATATAGTCCTACAAAAAACATAAAGGATCACACAAGTTCTTCACATTACCCTGGCTAATCTGTCAGGACATGACAGCTTTACTATTGTTATATAAAGGATTCATGCTATCCTTAACTTTTTTAGAAGTATATTTCAGGGAGTGATTCACTAGTCCAAGTTCAGTGAGATTTTAACATGACAACCTACGATCATACCAGTTCAAATACTAGCTGAAAGATGTCCAGCCAGACTGCTTTTTTTCTTCTATAAATTCACAAATAGTTCTGTCTAGCAAAGACCGAGTCGTGTATTTTAACTTTCAAGTTAAAGCAAGAACTGAGTTTGACGGATGACCAAAGTACCTGACACTGACCTTGAACCTTGACAACACTGTCGGCTTTGCAGGCTCTAGGTCCCAATACATTAAGCTGTATACCTAGGATCATATCCATCATTGCACACTCCTTTATTCTGTCCATGACGACATCTAGCTGGCCGGTCACTCCTTACATCACACACAGCTGGCCATGCTGGCTATCACATGACAAGCAGATGGATGAAGCCACACAGCACTGTTTCATGATAGCACTGAACATGTGATCATGTCACCAAGCACATGGACGAGGAAACACAGCACTTATCAAGTGATGCTGGTCACACACAGCGAGGTGGTTAGGTCTTACAGCACTGTCTGATGTTAGGCACTGGTCAAGTGATCAAGCTGAGGTAGACAACACACTTGGCCTAAGTGGTCAGCCTTCTTTATCCATGGCACACCCACCAACGGACCCATCCCACATGTCCTGCTTTAGTCGTCGCTCCTTGCGACGTTTCTCTGTAAATAAAAATCAGTTTAAGTTGAATGAATCTCAGTCAATGTCAGCAACTTTCTGTCATGGTGGTGTCATGTCAAGTCTGGTCCAGGTTAACCTTTCAAGGCATTATCAGGGTTTGATGTTCCACTTCTGGCAAGTAACGCAGCCTGATGACCCAATCCTAAGCTTTGTGATGTTTTCAAAACTGAGTACAAATTCAAAGCCAACATGGTGCACATCAGCATACTTTGCACAATACTTATTCAATTTCCTGACAAATGTGTTTTATAGTTTCAAATTGTAATTGGTAAAACTTTGATCCCACCCAACACAGTCCATGTTGAATCTGACAGTGACCTTGACCTACCCTTGGCCTCCTTCAGTTGTTTTCGCTCTTGTTCCCGTTTCTCTCTGGGGATCTGGGACTGCAAACCCAGGGCTCCAGACACCAGACGACGAGCAGCAGATGCAGACGTCTGAGGACGGGCCTTGTAGGGCTGCAGGAACTCTGTGTAGACACATCAACCATAACATCTAACATCCAGTCAAAGTGAGTGAGGTGGATTTAAGGCTGCTTTCATTAGCTGTCTTTGTCAAGAAGGCAAGCACTTTGTGTTTCAACTTCAGTAAAAGGCTTCAAGGTATGTTTATTTGTGTAACATTTTCTGAATGTAGAGCCATCATCTGTTTCTGATTGCATGAGCAGCACTTGGCACGTCAGATCTATTTAGTTGCCTCTAAGCTGCAGATCAGTTGTTGGGAACCTATATTCTTACACAGAGTCCTCACAGAATGCGACATGAGAGAGAAGGGGATATCACATGGACATCAACTTTACTATGTCAAACAAATGGCTGCCATACAGAATGTTAAATGTTTAGCATTCTGATTGTCCACAAGATAAATATCTGACTGGATGTTTAAATTATCAACTAGGTAAAAAATGACATACAGTCAGCCTGACTTTGTGACCTTGCAGACCCAATCTTTCTTTCAGATAACACTGGAGGTATTACAAGATGTGTTTTCAGGCTATGACAGGTCATGTATAAACTCTGTTACATGTGAGAGGTTTGTCATTCATGGTTTCATTATATTTCCTTATTCCTACAACGACAAGAAGAGATGTCAAGTCATACCGCAATTCTTCTTGGCCTTGACCTTAGACTGGCGAGATGCCTCTGACAAGCTCCGCACCTTCAGCATTTGATGTCTGCTACTCAGGGCATCTTGAGCTGAACAGACATCAGTTCAAGAAAAATGTGTTGGATGAATGGTTTTAAGTATATTCGTTTCAGAACAGGCATTACTTTACACTCAGTAAGCATTAATGACATTGATGCCTGTATGGGCGAGTGTTTGCATGTATATATGTGGTAGAGGTTTGTGCGTTGTTTTTTGTGTGTTACTCACTTGCATGTGCGTTTGCATGAGTGAGTGAGAAACCAGATTAGTGTGTGTGTGTGTGTGTGTGTGTACATATACTGTATATATATACTTGTCTTAGGACTGTATCATATTTTGCTCTTTCTCTCACACACACATATATTTGACATCACATTTTTTCCCCAAGCCTCCTCTCTATAATAAACGATCAGTGCCCTAAGTAATGTTCAAATTGATAACCTTTTCATTTGAAGAAAACAATACAGTTCTATGTGTGACGACATAACCCGGCACTGAGGACCCAGACTACACAGCAAGCTTACCTGCGATGGGGCTGGCGAACACCCCAAGGACCCAGACTACACAGCAAGCTTACCTGCGATGGGGCTGGCGAACACCCCAAGGACCCAGACTACACAGCAAGCTTACCTGCGATGGGGCTGGCGAACACCCCAAGGGCCCAGACTACACAGCAAGCTTACCTCTCTGGCGAACACCCCAAGGCGATGGGGCTGGCGAACACCCCAAGGGCCCAGACTACACAGCAAGCTTACCTGCGATGGGGCTGGCAAAGGACCCCACTTTACCTGCGATGGGGCTGGCGAACACCCCAAGGACCCAGACTACACAGCAAGCTTACCTGCGATGGGGCTGGCGAACACCCCAAGGGCCCAGACTTAACACCCCAAGGACCCGACTACACAGCAAGCTTATGGGGCTGGCGAACACCCCAAGGACCCACAGCACTACACAGCAAGCTTACCCAGGGCACAGATGGGGCTGGCTGGCGAACACCCCAAGGACCCACAGAAGCTTACCTGCACAGCAAACACCCTTAAGGGCCTCTTACCTGCTTACCTGCGATGGGGCTGGCTGGCACCCCAAGGACCCAGACTACACAGCAAGCTTACCTGCGATGGGGCCCACCCCAAGGACCCCGACACAGCAAGCTTACCTGCGATGGGGCTGGCTTAACACCCCAAGGACCCAGACTACACAGCAAGCTTACCTGCATGGGGCCTTAACACCCCAAGGGGCTGGCTACAGGACCCACGAACACACCAAGGGCATGAGTATCATCAACCCATTTGATGTCAAAGCCTCGAGACCTACACAGGAGTCAACACAGAATCACATATCTCAAATTCATAGCTCTGCTTGGAAGAATTCACTCACTGCAATAAACTTATTCTAACATCAAACAGTTACAATTACAGAAATTCTTGAATTCCTTATGGATATGTGCTATTAATCTTCAACTTTGGGAAATATATGTTACTATCCTATTTCTTGTGACTTGCCAAACTATGTTCATCCATGGAAATATACTGAGGGAAACTAAAAAGGGAACACCATTTCATGGTAGTGTTCCTTTATTTATTTTCAGATTTCCTCCCACAGCGCTATTCAAAGCTGGTGATGAAAACTGGAAAATATTAAAATTTTCCTATGTTCCCTTATTAGTTTCTCTCAGTATATTAAGATTCAAAGGCTTTACAATCATCAATATTTCACAGGCTTCTACAGAGAAAGATTTATTTAAACACCTGTTGAAATACGGACAATGAGATTAAATACAGAACCCTACATTACATTCTAAGTTTCACATAATCAAATACTTAACATTTGATATAAGGTTCTAATAACTTACCACTGATTTTTATACTTTTTACAATATATCAGTAATTACCCCAATAAATATCAAGATCTGAATTTGTTTTACAAACAACCATCGAAATATTGTTGCTATTCACATAAATCCTGTGCTGGAAAGTGACATTTGAAATAAAGTCATATTCTCCTGCAACAGAAATACTGTTTCCTAGCAACCGGAAATATTCACAAGTTGATATTATTGTTTCTCCTTGTACCCAAACATTGAATCCACAGATGCCCCCTACTGAGGAAGGCCTGAACATCGTGTCAGCTGAATAATCTCTATAGCATGCACTCACATGTAATCCTTAAAGGCAGCAATGAGATCCCGAGTCAGGAACTCGCCTGGGAAATCGTAGATCTCAATCACATGGCCATACACTGGAACACAATACAATGCCACGTTCAACCAGATCAACTAAAATGCGGGCATCCTAAGTTACCCATAGTCAGCACTACACCTGTTTCTCTGTCTTTTTCCTTTGAAGCTTGTTATAGTTAGACTGAAGCCCTATAACTTCTAGAGTGCACTTATTTTCAAAATAAACCTAGTGTTGGCACAGGGTTTGACATTAAGACAATAATCAGAAGTGTTTTGGTTAACAAATATATACCATCACATGAAATTTTATGATATAATAGGCAAGGTTTTGTAAGAACAGTAAGCATGGAAGTATTGATCTTGGTACTGACTGTTCATATCCATGTCAGGATCCTTGGGCTTGAAGTCAAGATAGTTTATCTTTGGCTTGTCGATCTTCACATTTCCTACATGGGCCGTCAGCTGAAATAAAAAGCAAACATACAGCTTCAAACATCACCATATGTCCTACATCCAGCTGTAGGCATCACATCATTCACACACTCAGATCTGTCCTACAACCAGCTGTAGGCATCACATCATTCACATACTCAGATCTGTCCTACATCCAGCTGTAGGCATCACATCATTCACACACTCAGATCTGTCCTACATCCAGCTGTAGGCATCACATCATTCACATACTGTCACATCCAGCTCCACACATCCAGCTGTGTCCTAGGCCAGCTATCACATCATTCACACACTCAGATCTGTCCTACATCCAGCTGTAGGCATCACATCATTCACACACTCAGATCTGTCCTACATCCAGCTGTAGGCATCACATCATTCACACACACACACTCAGATCTGTCCTACATCCAGCTGTAGGCATCACATCATTCACACACTCAGATCTGTCCTACATCCAGCTGTAGGCATCACATCATTCACACACATCAGACCTGTCCTACATCCAGCTGTAGGCATCACATCATTCACACACTCAGATCTGTCCTACATCCAGCTGTAGGCATCACATCATTCACACACTCAGATCTGTCCTACATCCAGCTGTAGGCATCACATCATTCACACACTCAGATCTGTCCTACATCCAGCTGTAGACATCACCAGCAGATTCACACAGCTGTAGTCATTCAGGATCTGTCCTACATCCAGCTGTAGACATCACATCATTCACACACTCAGATCTGTCCTACAACCAGCTGTAGGCATCACATCATTCACACACTCAGATCTGCCCTACATCCAGCTGTAGACATCACCAGCACTCAGACACTCAGATCTGTCCTACATTCAGCTGTAGACATCACCAGCACTCAGACAATCAGATCTGTCCTACATCCAGCTGTAGACATCACCAGCACTCAGACAATCAGATCTGCCCAACATCCAGCTGTAGACATCACCAGCACTCAGAAACTCAGATCTGGCCTACATTCAGCTGTAGGATAACTTTCATACATCTCAATTGTTATACCAATATTTGTCTCTACATAAAAGATGAGTCAGTTGAAGCCATGAACAACACAGACAACATTTCCAGCATATTCACAAAATCATATGAATAATAAAATCTTGCCCAGTAAACCCCCGTAAACAGTCAATAAGTATTTAGTTTCTATTACATCAGTATATCCAAATCAACTCCAAAACACATTTAAGCATGCCTACCTCCTCCATTGCTGACGGGTCAAGACAGTCACCATTGTCGTCGAACATCTTGTCCCATGAGTCCTCATCCTCATCCTGACTGGGGCTGGGTGGGTCAGTAAAGTTCTCTGCAGCAATAGCTTCAGCCTTCAACTGCCTCTCCACTGCAAGGGATTCAGCATCTTCGCTTTGTCTCCGTATCTCCGAATCCAATGCAGCCAAAGCTTGTTCTTTCAGCTGCTGTTTTATCTCCTGAGAATCCTGCAGACATTCAGGGATTTCAACTTCAGCATGATCATGAGATGTTTCAGATTCTTCCAGATCTGCTGCAGTGTTGGGGCCATCCTGATGGCTCTCATTGACCTCAGACGCAACACCATTCACTTGTTGGTCCCCACTGTCGACCTCCATCTGGATGTCACAGTCTTCTGAGAGACTTTTACCTTTTGTCATTTCGGTTTCTCGGGAACGCATCCGTCATCCTGATCTGAGATCTGATCCTCCATTGCCCCTACACTTGTGACATCTGGGTTGCTACTGTTCTGGTTCTGACTGAAAGTTTCAGAGTCTGCTGATGGGTTACTGTCTTGAACCAGCACACAGACATCAGGCTCAACACTGGCCTGGCTGGTGGAATCATCAGAAGCAACTGGAATATCAGACACGACATCCACCGCGGACGTGTCATCCATACAAGTGGGAGCCGTATTGGACTGGACTGTTGTCTGAGACATGGGTGGTGCTGGAATGTTATCAACATGACCATCCTCCTGACTTTCAGTACATTCTGTGTTAACTTGTCTCCTGCTTTCACATCCATGTCTGACGCTAACAGAGCTCTCAACTGTTGTACCATCAGATTCTGAGAGGGAAACATTTTCAGAGCCATGAGATGAGGCACATACATCATTGATGCATGACCCATGTATGGAATTGCCATCGCCGATATAGTCACTTACAGAATGTGCACTGTCAGCCACCTGTGTGGCTAATCCTTGAGAACATTCTTCACTTGTCTCTGTATGAGTCCCCTGAACTAAGTCTGGAAGAAGCCCATGTTCAGAGGAAGGTTCTGCAACTGCCCTTTGAACACAAAGACCATTTGCACTAGAATGATTTGACACACTGCTTTTGTTAACAGATTCTTGTGTTTCAAGATGGCTTGAATTGATACCATCTCTCCTCTCTCCAGACTCTGAAACCTTTCCTGAACCATCAGGCCCAGAATCACATTTCAGCTTTTTGACAGAAGATCCTTTTGGAGATTCAGTGAGTTTCTCTGGAGTTGGCGTGTTCTCGGTGTTGCACTCCACCCTTTCATCCCATGTCTCTGGAGTAGCTGGTTGTTCACTGGGGGTATCAGACTGTGGCTGTCTCCTTGCACGAGGAACATATCTTTGTATTTCTGGGCGTGGCTTACGACCCACCTTGGCACGTCTCTCTTCCCTTGGAGACTCTGCTGGATCTTTCCTCAAACCTTTTTGACTTGTGTCCATTTGACCTCTAGGGGTCCTTTCACTTTGACACTTAATAGGTGCATCTCCATGACCGATAGGTGCCTTATCACCTTGACCCCTGTACCCAGGGTCACATGGCTCACCATGCAGCCTATCATCAACCTGATGTTGCTGAGTGAGTGAGTGAGCATCACTATGCTGTAGACTGTCAGACTGAGTCACTCTGCTAACCTGTTCCTGGTGTACACGGCGGGCACGTGGGACATAAATCTGAGCTCCAGGTTTCTTTTTCTCTCTGGAAGATATTGCATCATTGAACTGACAATCTGTACAATGAAGCACAACTAAAATGTCATTGATTCAAGGCTACTCAGTCATCTCTAATGTACATAAGAAATACTGAAATACCCTCAGAAGTAGTAACACTGGTTATTCATGAGGCAAGCAGAGTTACTCTGCATCAGATCCTTGAAATATTTACAACATCCAATATTCAACATTTCATAATGAACTGGTACACTAACAGTGGAAATAAAACTGCACCAAGTGACCTAGTGTCTATTATTTCCTTCCTCGATTAACTGGTGTATATTAAGTCCCTGGGCCAATGGTTGCATATTGTTTTGAAATAATGTAACTTGTTACATTTCTTCTATAACAGAATATATGTCACTCTTGTGCATGAAATAAACAATAAACTAACATGACACTTCTGACATGAGTTCAGCCAGATCTACATTCAGCCTGAAGTCCTTGATACAATTCTCCAAATGAAAAGACAAAATGTTGGCTGGAAATTAGTTTAATCTTTGAAAATTACTAAGACAGGGGAGGAAATTCCATTAATACATGTCCTGGGAGCATATCATAACAGAATGGAGATCTAATACCCAGGTCACATGCCATATACTGTATTATACAAATTAAGCCTTAATATTACCAACCTTGCTCCAAGAGAGTGTCTCTCTTTGACAGCTGATGCCCTAGCTTCCCGTGACACAGCCTCCACCCCCTGCCCTGGTGCACTCTCCCGTGTAGTTAGCCCACTAGGGGAGGGGCTGCCCCTAGTTGCACCACGCCCCCTGCCCCGCCCCCTCCTGGCAAGTGGCTCAGGAGGTCGGGACATCAACTCTTGACCCAACTCACCTCTGTAACATGTATACAACTGATGTTTACAAGCAATTAGCATCCATAGTCTAAGGCCATCCACATTTTTTTTATGTATCTCATCTCCAAACTGGTGCTGATGAGGGGCGGGCGGGCAGGAAAAAAAAAAAGCAAGAAAAAAAAAAAAAAGTAAGCAGTTTGCCATTTTCTTTTCAAGCTGGTGACAGAAAATGACCCTCCTACAGTACCCAGACCATAAAAAGAGGCTTTTCTTATTGTGAGAATCCTTTTTTCTCAATTTTAGACAGTTCATATATCATTAAACATTAGGAAACTATATGGAATAATTACCCGGTATGCTACAAACTTTTTATAGAGCCTCTTTAAATGTCACATTGGATCAGAATACAACAAAGTCAGTTCTTCAAAACTGGTACTTTCTTTATTTTTGGAGAGATTAATCACTTTTTGTAGGTTTTTTGGCCACCGGTCAAAGGCTGTCGTCCACTGGTAACTCACTGGTTGCATGTCCACAGTTTGTTTAATTTCCAAGCGCAATACGAATTGACACGATAGAAGATAACAGGAAAAAAAAAGGAAAAATCGGTATATTCATGGCATTTCCTACGACAGAACTCAAGACAGTGTAAGTCTCAGATTTCATAGCATTATACTTTATATATCAGCCCTTATGTTATTTCCAACGGCAATGCTTCAACTATTGCCACATTCAAATTTAACAATAGTTCTCATACTACCACCGACCTCAATGTGAAGAGAATCGGAGATACACCTCCAACCAACGGACCTGTATCCCCTGGAAGACCAATATCGCAAATTTGTGATTATTACACATCCCTGACAATTGAAGAAATTCTGTGTAGAATGTAACCTTTAATATTAAATATGAATAATACGTTTTGATCAGCAGTTCTTCACACATTTCATTTTATTTTTAAATTCTGAAACTATGTTTCTGACGCGTACTTAATGTACCATACACCTATTATCCAATTAGTCGGTTGCAGCATAAGTACCAGTCATCATAGTTTGAAATAAAAGATTTAGCCCTTATAAAATGTGCCCATCAGTCAGTGCTGTGAGTCATTTTCTATGTTAATTCATTGATCCATTTCTTACAAAAGTTTAACATCATTCAACCTCTAAACATAAGGACTCATTTACAGAGATTTGTCTCAACAAACAACAGATCATGCTGACCACCCAAGAGGATGTGTATGATAGAATTATATGTGTATAGAATGACATATGTATCTTCTTGTTTTAGTAACATTATGTTGACAAACTATTTCACATGACAGACCATATACTATCTAGCTATAGCTTTATATTCTGATTTTCATTCAACGCTTCTGAAGAAACTTTAGTGTTATGTCTGTTTGTCAGGAATTAACATAGAAAATGTGTATAAATCAAATATGTTTTTGATGACATAAATTCCATGTAGATATGTGTATGCATTATTTATTTATTTTTACAAATTAACAGATAATACTTATGTACAATGACTAAATAAAGTCATGCATGTGTAATGTAATATTAAAGGTCACATGCAACGCAATGAAAAAAAAAAAACGGCGAAATCGAGTTCAAGCGTTTCACTAAATTTCCCCAGACTTTTCAGGGGAATATGGGTTTCAACAGCTGGGCTGCGCTCATAGCACGCGTCTTGCTTGAGTGAAATAGGTTCAGCAGAACTTGGAAGCGAGCTGTCTGGTGAATACTTTCGGTGAAGGCTTTGGTGTGAGCTATTTTCATAATGTTTTGTTGATATCTCACGAGTAGCTGAGCTTTTGTATGTTATGACAGTAAATAAACTGTTTATATAATTTCATTTGTCTATTTCACCACACGTTCTTCTTACGAGTCACTTTCTCAGTTCGATACTTAAAAGCAATGTCATTATTTAGAGTTGACACAATTTCTAACTGTGATATAGATATGTCGCTGTCACAGACAAAACTCAATGTCTTGTTTTATTGACACCTGTGTGTCTGCCTGCCTGACTGCTAATGACAATATTCAATACACAACTGCGATCACTGACCACATGCAATTTGAACTTAACACCAATCAGGTTTTACACCATAAACAAAACGCATTGATTTATGGCCCGAGTTCGGTCTCTGTCACATTATGTAATTACACAGACAGGCAGGTGTGATACTTGAACACATGACATGTTATGATGTCTGTTGATTGCAAAATGTTATACACACAAAATGAGCATGTATTTACAAAACCCAACTTTCTATATATACACACACCGTGAAGGCGGCATCTGCTAATGAACCAGCCGTTACACTTGAGTGCACACCCACCCGCTCTGACTGGGTTCGGTATCCCGGCTGCTTCGTTTCGAGGGAGGTAAACCCAAGTACAAAATATTGCACTTTTGATTTGCGATTATACGCTTATAATTTTGTTTATTTGTTTTTTCATAATCAGCAATGCATATTATATGTCATGAAGAAGTGATAATTGTGTTTTAATTATGTTTGATTTTTTGGTTGCATGTGACCTTTAAAGTACACACGCACCATCATATTAAAATATCAGATAAAAATCACGACGAAATTCACACGTTGCATAACAATGTTTTCACATTTCGCGCACAATATCAGTTCCCGACCGTACTGAATTACATGAATGTAGCCTAATCGGCGTAATACGATATAGATTTGAGTACAAATGCAAAAATAAACTGGAGACTTAAAAGGTGATATTCAGACATCTAGTGCCAGATTTGAATTACTGATTGTAAAACGTCAACAAAATGACAAAATATGACCTGAAAATGATCAGCTGATTCCACCGACTCGCTTCGAATGGCCATTTTGCGATTCATTAATGCAATATAAGCAATCATGACTATGCCCGGTGTATCATGGAATCACATAACAAATATTTCAGGATATCACAGTTGATATATCATCGGTCAAGGGGAAAGATATACTGTCCATATGCACCAGCGTGAACGTTAACGGTGATGGTGAAGGCTGTACTGGTTAACTGTCTCTAAGTGTTTAGTAATCAGAACAGCTCCCATCGCGCATAAGACATGCACTGTCAGTTTAAGGTTGGACTGTCCGGATCAGCACTCCAAGTGGATTAGTGAAGGGAAGATAAATTCAAAATGATCGCCCATTTAGATGCTTGAGAGACATTTCAAAATATTATTGTTGACTTTCTAAGTTGACTTTTAAGACACATTTTTCATTTGATCAGGCTGAAATTATTGCTGTCGGCGTCATTTTGTAAAATAAAAAAAATGTTTTATGTTCCATCGGAAGGAAAGTTTGGGTCGGTCGGGAGATGAGAAACACAGACAAAAATATGGATGGCCTAAACATGAATACCCTGTATATGATAATAACAGGGGTAAATATAGGTACACTCCAAACCATGTCCACCTGCAGACAAAACTGTGGCAAGATGGAATGCGCTTTGAGCATCATATGACTGAAATATTGTATAAAGTGCTATAAGCCACACTCCCTCACACTAACAACTGGTATTTATTTTCAAGAATTAGGAATAAGGACATTCATAAATACAGTCAAACATCACTGTGTCAAATATCACTGTGTCAAATTCCTGACTGCCCAAAACTCACCTTCTGCTCCCTACAAATTTCTTCTATATTTATCCTCACTCCAACTGAGATGTCAAAACTGGATGTGTCAAATATCTTGATCTATCAAACTCATTTGGGAGTTTTAAGTTTACAAAAATGAAGCATAGCATTCATCTGAAGACCTGAACAGTTGAAAACAAAAAACTGAAGTTTCAACTTTTAGCTCATTTCACAGCTGACCTCACTACGATTGAAGCACTCAAAGGCAGGATGCTTCCTAACAACATGCCAATAGACAAGTAGGCCCCATCATCAGGCACACCCTACATCAAAGGTGCAAGCTGATTACCTGCCACCCCCTTCATGACCTGCAGCTTACAGCAACACATTGAAATTTAGTGTAATAATTCCAGCTGGGTAGTATTCTCTCATAACATGATGTTTGGCTTTCGAAAAGTCACTTTGTTGAATGTCTCAAACCCTGGATAACACGAAGTTGTTTCCAGATTCCAATAAGTTTGACACAATGAAGTCTGACTGTCATAGCAGACAGTGGCAATGACGTAGTAGAATCTGTGTACACCAGCTCTCAACCTACCTGAGAAGTGATACAGTGAGACAGACAACAGTGCGACGATTGAGGGCCTCCCCAACTGAGAAACTTGCAAGTCCACTATATTCCTCAACAGTCTTGTGGATAAGTAGCCGATGATAGCTGTTGACGGGAGGGAAGATCAGGACTCTATCAACAGCAGACATCACAAAACGTCAAACATCCCATCACCAGAGACATGTTAATTGTTGAGTATTAAGCAAAATTCTGATAACTCCAGAGTGAAACATTATCATTAATCCTTCAAGTGTGAACCAGTAGGTGAGTGGCCTCTAATGACCAGCACTAATTGCTGGGAACCAACTGTAACTAAATATCCATGCTGGGAACCCTTTTTTCACTCTAGGCTGACTGAATGAGTCTGGTTTTATGCCACTTTTAGCAATATTCCAGCAACATCACGGCAGGGGACACTAGAATTTTCACCCTAGGTCCCAGAGTAACATATCCTACTACTCAACATGGTTGTTCTAAAGTGTTAGTAGATAAATTGCCTCTTTTTCTCTTTTATCAATGATCCATGCTAAATATTCATTTTCCAATTCTCACCTTTGGTAGTTATTGTAGTGAATCATGTGCCTCTGCCAGAAGACATCTGAACATTCTGATCCTCAGACAATGTCAGTGTTTAAAGTGTTTTATAGCTGAATTCTGAACCAAGAGAGTGTACAATGAACACCAAAGAATAAATGGTTGTTTCATGTCACAGTCTATGTTTATCATACATAATACAAGCCCAATTACCTGTCAGGTTGTGCTCGTTCCAAGAAGTCTGTGATATCGGTTGTGACAAATGTAACAAACTTTGAGTCGTCTGTGTTCAGGTAGTGATTATCTAAGTAGGCCGCCAGCTCTAAATATTTGACCTTTTAGCTGAGAACCACTGCATTTCCATCTTAATCCTGTAAGAAAGGAATCCCTGTTATAACATAAATTCTAGCATTAGTCTGTACAAATTCCCAAATTTGAATTAAAAGCCTGCCCCATATATGACAGCAATATTATTAATGTTGTGACCTTGCAGATAAAAAAATATGATGAGGAAGAAGCTGTACTGAAAGGTTTTATAATCTAAACTTGCAATGCTACAAATACAATACCTCTGATTATTGGGTAATGGGAACTATGCCATATCGAAAATCCAGTTCCATTTTGGGGTTGCCAATATACAAGTGCTAACCATGGATGCCTATGATTACAAACAATGTAGATGTTGTGGGTAGAGTCTGAAAAGAAATAATTATGCCTCTCTCAAACAGTTCAATAATTATTTGTTTAAAATGGATTTTTTTAAAACAGTTGATAACTTTAAAGGTTAACAGAGCATTCAATACATTATATTGAAATTAAGTATTCACAGCCATTTATTGTTCCTGTTTTGAATGAAATGTAGGTCACCTCTGTCATATCTCCACTCCCATAACACTAGAAATGATAGGTTCTATGAAGTGGGCAATCTTAAATTCCAGTTCAGGAATCTAAGCAGACATTTGTTGCAGATCTGGGCTATGTGTTTGAGCAGGACAAAAAAAACCTAAGGATGTGTAACACTAAGTTACTGACTAAGGACAGAAGCTCTCACATGTTATTAAATAGATCTCTGTCTGTCCAACTGTTAAACACCTGGTAATGAAAATAGAAATCATAAACAAATGATCCATGGAATCCACTGAGTGAACGCTGGGGTCTCGAGTAGACTTCCTTGTGAAAGTAACCTTATTTAACATGAGATTCAACTTTTGACAGACTTTAAATTGATAAACAGATACTTGCAATCATACTTTAGACACTTCTGGGAAAGCATAAGACTTGAAAAGTCCAATGACACTGACACTGACAGGGCATATCTTTTTTGGCGAACGCTTCCTGGGTAAGTGTGTTTGGATGACCAACACTGGACAATGTGAGCTCCGTTGTAGATAACAACATGGACACGAGAATAGCGGTAAACGTTAAGAAATTACAAATTACATTGACGTGGATTCACCAAACTATCTACCTTTTTATCCAACAATATTTCACCTCACACGAAAATCTCTACCCCTGTCCGGGTAAGTGTTGTGTTGAACGTCATCGATTAATGTGTTCAGTAACCTGTGCTTTTACAACTCAAATTACTCTTTCATTCACCCATCTTTCGGCACGGAAGGGAGAAAACTGGAGAAGAACAGTAATTGGAAAGCTGAAGTCATGTGACTTGCACAAAATGGCGGAAGGTGGGAAAGTTGAATAGCTCTGTTATTTACCAGCAAACGTTTGTTCTGATCATCATGCAGTGTCATTAAAAATTTTTGATTCGTTTCATAGTAGCGATAAACAAATCATTCTTGTCTTTTCAGTAGGTCTCTATGCGGCATGGTAGATACTGGCTCCTGTCAGTGTCAAATTTGGCAACGTGGTTGTTGACAGAACATGTTGTGCAAGACTCTACTGGCTGCCGAACAGTTATCGCCGTATTTTAGCGGTACAAAATTATTCCGCCAATCGTTAAATTAATGAAGCAGAATTAATTTTGATACTCAAGTAGCTATTCACCGATGTGTCCAGACCGTTCACTGCCGCCGATTGTGTATTTATATAACGCGGCGGAAGGGAATCATGGCAGTACAAATCGATGTTTTCTCACAGCTAACTGTAAAAGTTATATCCAGTTTAGCATGTCTTATGTCATTCGTGAAATATAATATATTCATATCATAAAGTAACCTAGAATAATTGATTGTGTGACTAGTTGAGTGGTTTTTTTAACAGTAGATTGATAGTGAGTGAAACAATTAATGACTTTTGTGAACTTGAAATTGCTATTATATACATCGCGTGACATTCTCCCGACTAAGTTAAAAAAAAATATATGGTTCATAGCTTTATCTTTGATTTTTCTCTTATTTTACTTACCATTAAGAATTTTCTTTTGCAGTCCTTTATTGTTGTCAAATACCATGAGAATAAATACCGGAATTGTAATTGACCGGAACTGATTTATTGGCGATAACTGTTCGGCAGGTAGTAGCTGAAAACATTTTCCCAATAGATACAAACCACTAATGCTAACTGCTTTCGTCTGCAGCTCAAACATCAGTACAGATTCTTATATCCAAAAATATAATAAAGAAGTTTTCATCCATAAAGTATAATACCTTTCTTATTATTCATCAACTTTTGAAATGTCAGTCAAACAGATCATACACCACAGTCATTCATTCAGATGAAGAGTTTATTTAATGGCTCCTCATATGTACATAAGACTGGCTAAATATCATGAGAGTGGTGACTGACAGAGACATCAAATCTAAAAAATTGAAGGATGTACTATTAAATCTAATTGAGGTTTTTACATTGATGACATGTGTTTGAAACAGAAATGTCAAAATTATACATTGTTTTAAAACAAATAATCCAAAGGAATTTCCTTGTTATCCCCCTTTGTTATCCCTAATGTAATCATGACTACAAAATGTTGGCAACTGACTATACTTAAGTAAGATCTATAATTCAGTATGTGGTAAATATGATCTGCAAGACCCATGAAGATCCGGGTTTGAATATTGGTCTTTAGTAACCCATGCTTGTCATAAGAGCCTAATAACGGGATCGGGTGGTCAGGCCCTCTGACTTCGGTTGACACATGTCATGACACATATCCCAATTGCGTAGATCGATGCTCATGCTGTTGATCACTGGATTTTCTGGTCCAGACTCTATTATTTACACACTTATAGCTGGAATATTGCTGAGTACGGCATTTAACAACAAATCAACCAACCAACCTTTAACACAATATGTTGAAATACAAATTATTTGCTTGAAGAAAGTCCAGTATCTGTATCAGAGTGTTTGTGTTAGCCTGTGCTAGTATGTTGGCCTATGTTTTCAGCTGGAGAGGAGGCTGATGAACCACTGATTGTTGGTGTGTCTGTTGTGTGTGAGACCAGCATCCAACCACATCTAACACTAGGCTGCCTTGTCCTCAAAGAGTCCCAGAAATCTGAATCTCTCTCATCTCTTCGATGTCAGATAAATGCCCAAATAAGAAGTCTCCCATCTGAATACATCTTCGTCACATCTCACAGGTTCATAAGTCTTTGTGAATTTTGTCCTTTCATATTTAACTTTCAAGTGATTATGTTATAATCTGATAACAGCACATTATTGTATTACAAGGAATTTAGATATAGACAGAAGAAATGTTTGGTTATACTGTCTATTTGAATGGCAAAACTAACTCTTGTTGTTACTTACTTTCTTACTTACTTACTAGCCGTTACTAAATTTTACTTACTTACTTACTTACTTACTTACTTAGGGGCGGTGGGGTAGCCTAGTGGTTAAAGCGTTGGCTCGTCACACCGAAGACCCGGGTTCAATTCCCCACATGGGCACAATGTGTTAAGCCCATTTCTGGTGTCCCCCCCATGCTGAATATTGCTGTAAATAAACTCATTCAGTCAAACTTACTTACTTACTTACTTACTTACACTCACTTACTTTACTTACTTACTTACTTTTACTTACTTACTTACTTACTTACTTATTACTTACTTACTTACTTACTTACTTACTACTTACTTACTTACTTACTTACTTACTTACTTACTTACTTACTTACTTACTTACTTACTTACTTAATACTTACTTACTTACTTACTTACTTAATACTTACTTACTTACTTACCGCGTTGCTCTTAGCACATAAGGCCGTTACTAGAGTTTTCCAATGCTGTCTATCCTGGGCCCATTGCTTGCCCCTGTCCCCAGGTCCACCCTTCGTCCTTCATCTCTGCCTCCACAGATCTTCTCCATGTCTCTTTTTATCATAGGATATTTATATAGCGCACATATCCAGGCAACTAGTGCATGCTCAAGGCGCTGGTATTTGTCCCCTCGATCATTGGATGTCAATCTCAACGTCACATCGTATTATCAATCTCAACTCCCTGGGGAGTATACAACTCTTGCAGCCACTAGGCGCACCGAGTTATTGTGGTTTTCTCATCCTAACGAGCTAGCCATTCACAGCTGGGTGGACTGGGACACATAGTCACAGTACTTTGTCCAAGTTCACTGCACGTTGCTGTACCCGCAACTAGGTATTTACACGTATTCATGTGGCCACCATCTGGTCATATACCAACGGATTCATGGGTTCTTTTAAGTGCGGAGGGTTGTGTACTGTACACTAGGGGTTGCACACAAAGTTGACTCCAAGGTTGTTTTACACCCGGTCACAGGTGGGCTCGATCCTGACACCTCAACCTCGCTGGATCACTAGCCTGGCGCCTTAGCCAGCTCGCCCACCGCGCCCCCTTGGGACATCCTCTGTTTCTTTTTCCTGTTGGTGTCCATCGCATAGCAACCCTTGGTATGGAATCTGGGTGCATCCTGCAGACATGACCGATCCAACGCCATCTTCTCTTCTGGATCTCGAGGGACAGTGGGCTGGTGTCCGATAGTTCTTCATTTTAGACGGTGCTTGGCCAGAAGATGCAAAGTATTCTTCTGAGACATCTGGTTTGGAATACATCAAGTTTGTTGCAGATGTTGTGGGATATTTTCCAGGATTCTGCGCCATACAATAGGACTCCAAGAATGTTGCTCTTGAAGATTCGCAGTTTGGTGACTGTGCTGATTGATTTTGACCTCCAGATGTTCTTCAGTGAACTGAACGCTCCGCTAGCTTTGCCTATTCCCGACTGTATATGTGCTTCTGAGTTGCCGGTGGCTGTGATCTTGCTGCCAAAATAAGAGAAGTCTTGAACTTTGTCAATGTTTGTACTTCCAAGGGATACAGGCAGTGTAGATTTAGCATTAATCTTGAGGATTTTGGTCTTTTCAGTGTTGATCTTCAAGCCAATCGTTTCTCCTGTTGTGGCAAAGTCTTGTGTTTTGTTTTGGATGTCTTGGAAACATTGGGCAAGTAGGGCAATGTCATCAGCAAAGTCAAGATCTTCTAGACTCTTGGTGAATGTCCAGCTGATTCCTCTTTGCTTGCTCTTGGTGACTCTCTGTAGTATCCACTCCAAGCAGAGGGTGAAGAGGAGTGGGCATAAGCCTTGTTTCACTTCTGTTCTACAGCATTTTCATGATAGAGATTAGTTTGTCTGTGATCCCATAGTGGGCGAGGACTTTCCACAGAGTGGCTCTGTTAATACTGTCGAAGGCCTTGGAAAAGTCTATGAAGTTGGCATAGATGGTTGCGTTCCATTCGTTACTTTGTTCTTCCTTTCCTGAAGCCAGCTTGTTCTTCTCGCATGAGCGTGTCCATGGTTCTCGAACGTCTGTTGAGGATTACTCGGCTCAGTACTTTGCTGGTGACAGAAAGCAACATTATCTCTCTCCAGTTGTTGCAGTTGGTCAACCCCCTTTCTTTGGCAGTTTTACTCATAAGTCTGTCTTCTAGGTCTCTGGTGCTTCTTCAGACTCCAACATGTTTGATATTATGTCTGTTAGTAGCGCTGGTATTACTGAGTCCTCTCCCTTGAGCATATCTGCATATATCTGGATCTTTCCTGGTGCTTTCCCGTTCTTTAGTGCCCTTATTGCTCTTTTCACCTCTTCAATGTTGGGTGGTTCTGTGCTGATGTCCAGCTGTCGGCTGCAGGTTTGATGTTTGCTTCTATATCTGGATCTTCCCGGTTCAGCACTTTCTCGAAGTGTTCTTTCCAGCATTGCAAGACTTCTTCCTCTTTGGACACAATGTTCCCTGTTGGTGTCTGACTGGTCCAGCTGCAGTTTGGCATTTCCCTGAGTGTGTCTTGGTCAGTCTGTGGAGGGTTTTCATGTCTTGTTTGGATGCTGCTTGCTCGGCTTCCTCTGCTATTCTTTCAATGTTATTTCCTCTTGTCTGATCTTGCTCCCTTTTTCACTTCTTTGTCCAAAGCTTTATAGCTTGTCTGCAGTTGTTCTTTTAATCTCTGCGACCTGGTGCCAAGGATTTTCCTCTTTTCTTCTTGTTGTTTCAGGATTGATAATTTCTTTTACACCATTAGATGTTAATTCCTTAAAAGTTTGGGTCGTCTGACTGTGATATAGAGTTGACTTGTATTGTGTCTTCCTGCCACTAGGTGGCCTGTTGAGAGAAGTCAGGAAAGCTCACTTCATCTTCAACACATTTTGACTCCAGAGGAGCTGTATGGATCAGCAAGCAATATGGTAGGTCACTGTGTTGTTTTTCATTCACAAGGTCTTTGAAATATGGATGAAATACTCCCAATATGATGTATTATTTAAATTTAAACTCACTCTTTATATATCTATTAGTTTAAGGAGCCCCCAGTTTACACTGTGGATTTGTGCTTCTTGCTAGTAACTGCTTGTTCTATTCCCATATTTGCTTTATGATTTGTGTGTGTGGCAGAACCATGCCTTCTCATTTAATGGTTTTACTGAAGTGGTATTAACATCTGAAACTTGTGTTAGTTGAACTTTTGTTGAACATTATGCTGACAACACCAAATGCCATTAAACCAAACTCACTCACACATGTGACAGAGCTTCATGCAAGCTTCATTGTCAACCTTCAACAGATAAAACAAGACTTGAAAATGTATCTGATCCCGGCCATTTGCCTGTTTGTCTTGTACCATTGTGTTTTGACAATATTGGTCTCTTTTTAATAAAGCATATGACTTTATGGATAACAACTTCTTGTTTACTGCTAGAGTGGCGTTTGCGGTGTAGATTCTTACACCATTTTCAAGTCTACAAGTGTGATATATTTTGGTCACATGAACAGGGAGTATATTCATCACTCTGTTACTGTTATTCAATATTATTCCAGCAAAGCCAAAGATTGGAATCAAAGCTAAGACTGGCATGGCCCTGGGCTTTGTGTTTACAGACTTCACCAGCAGACTGTCCAGTCTTCGACAGGCCATCAACCAAGAGGTGAAATATGTCCCTCACACATCAGTGATGACATCAGTACATTGAGAATATGGCACAAAATTATAGGATAAGATCCAGTGGAAGTGCTGATAAATTGGTTCACCCATCAAATGGAAATTTGCTTGACCAATCCTGGACAGTAGAAACTAAATTCAGCAATTTGGACTGGAGGGTATACCTAAATATGGTGCGATATTTGCAGTTGGATAAAATGGTTCTGTCCGTCTTGAAGCTTTTTAATATGTCTTATGTACAACTTTTGGTTGTGAGAAAGAAAACAATGCAGAATAAAAAAAGTACAGAGAATGGAAAATATTTTTCATCATGAATACCCTACATTTTATATTTTCTTTAAGACATTTATGGTTTCCTCCAGAGCTGGGTTTTCCTTCAAGCGTCACATCAATGTGGCAAAAGACAGTAACATTGATAGTGATTAATGTCCAAATGGATTTTGTGATGTGATGTGATGTATTGGGAATAAAAATTGAATCATGCAAGTCGGACAGTATTATTTGATGTCTGAAGATGACAATGGAATGTTCATCCATATTTCAGTTAGCATTTTTTTGTGGGATTCCAAACACCTACATGTTCTTGGATCCAAACGGTTGGCCGATTAGCAAGAGCCTGGAGTCTGATTGGTCAGTTCTTGACGTTGTCGTAGATGGCTGTGTTGTTGTGTGTGCAGACACCATGTCCATGGATATGATAGAAAACAAAAATGATATTGATCTGTTTCCCGCCTTCGAACCTCCCCGCAAGAAGATCAGAAGGTATTTATTAATATTTGTTGTTCATGAGTAACTGGAGCATTGTGTAGGCAACCTGTGTAATCATGCGAACCCAATAGTACTGAATTGTTTGGAGGACAACTGAAAACTCAATGATTGATAGTCAAAGACGGATAACCCCAAATCCACAAGTGTAGCTTGACAAGGGAGGTAACTCTGTGGGTAACCCTTGAAATGAGGATATTGTAACAGATATGCTAGGTGAAGATTACATGTAATATAATGGAGAGTGAAAATTAGAATGCACTTTTCCACTATCTATAACCTAATTTGTCATTTTTCTGGTTTTAAAAGACTAAGACAGCTGAGTTTCCGCACATCGAAGGATACAGATCGGCAGTCGAGTGTTGATGTGACGGAAGTGACTGACACGTCACCAGACACGAAGCAGCTTCTCATCAGCTATGTTACGTGCCGAAGCTGCTGACCATGCCCTCAAGTTGAAGGAGGAGTTGTCTGTCCTTGGATTTAGCGTGTATTTGGTATGATGATACATTTGAACATAGAGGTGATGAGATATTTCAGCAGAATTAAATCACATCTACTTTATTTTTACATGATTTCCTTCATGTATGTTCTATATTTAGGTATTTAATTACACATTCAACTCAAGCCCAAGCCATAGTTATATTTCTTGAGAAAGTATGAAACCTGTCCATTCTTTGACCTGTAGTTTCCAACTGATTCAGTATTGTGAAGCCGATCCTAAGTCTGTAGGGTGTAAACTGCCTCTAAGCTGCTTCTGTGCTTCTTTCAGGACGTCCATGAGATAAAGAGTGGAGTAGACTGGCAGGACTCCCTAAACGATGCTGTCAGCAATTGTGAGGTGTTTGTGCCCCTCGTTACACCGAGATATGGCGAGACACAGTGGACAAATAGAGAGGTGGGTGCTGCTTGGTGTATACATGTATAGCTAAATGACTGGTTCATCTCTTTCAGTCTCTCACACAAATCATGATTGGCGCATACAGTCATTTATGCAGAGCTGATTTTGTTTAGTAGGTGTCATCAAAGTACCACAAACACTGGTTTCTGAAGCCACACCAAAATCAGGAAACAAAAATGCTGGCTTACACAATGTTTGATTTTTGTGACTTGTTTTAAACATATTTTATTCGTGAGAAAAGGATTGGGAACAAGTTATACAACTTAGAACACCCTCTCCGTAGTATTTACATAGTATTATTTACATTCATTCTACAAGATGGACAGAGAAGAACAGAACAGAAATATGGGAAAAAGAGGAACAATTGCAACAATTAAGAAAATCGTTTTGAATGACAAATATATGTTTGAACAATTTTAAATATGTTTTGATTTATGTGAACAGTCAGATCTGCATTGCCATGTAATAGTAACTCATAGGTTATATCCACATTTTTGTGACTTCACTGCAAACAGAATCTAAGTCTGCTGAAACTAGCATCACCCATTAACCACCAACATTAAACTCCTTGACAATTGTTGGTGCATGCATGCAGACAAAATCTGAATCTGCTGAAACTAGCATCACACCATCAACAGCTAACATAAATTCTGTGACCACCCCAGGTATAAACTTGCTGACTTGCCATTGCCTGCTCTAGGTGAAACTGGCAGACGTGTTGGGCAAGTATATACTCCCGGGTCAACTTCCTGGACACTTGGCCGCCCCGATGTCTGGCAATACAGTTCGCAACAACACAGTACATCTGTTGGAAGTCTCCAGCTCAGATACAGACAGGTGGGTTGCCAGGATCAGTGCCGATACTCTCAACACTCACTCTTTTAATAAAGTTTAAGTCAGACCTGTCTATGACCATTTTTCAGACATTTGTTTCAAAATGCCATGAAAATTGGAACACAGGTGGTGGTGCTCAGTCATGTATATTCCATCTTTTGTCGTATTATATAACATTTTGGCCTGTGCACTTTTCACCGTTTTGAATGCTGAAACTTACGGCTTAGTAGTGATATTAAGGTTGACTTTTGCTCTTGCTCTTTGTCTATGTTACAAAAATGCATTTTAGCTCAAGAACTTAATCTCCTGAAATTGATGGACTTCATACAGGGATTTACAGGACGCGAATTCCTGCATCCTATATGCATAAAAAATTGACAATGGACGCAACCAAATTTATTAGCGCGTCCACAGGGACTCAGAAAAAGTACAAATACTATTTGTAAAAATTCCAATCAAGTGACAATAAGTTATCGGTGAGTTTGCTATTAGCTGGGTTATGGTAATATTTGCAATTTAATTACTGTAACAATGTGATGATCATGATACACAATACAATAACGGTATTAATAATAATATTTAAGAGTCTGGGACACCCATTTTGTTGTCCAGGACCCCTGAAAATTAGTATGAGTATGAGTCCCAGGGATCCTCAAATACAGAACCCCATGTAAATCCCTATTGATAGAGCTTAGCATCTGCTTGTATCTTTCTCCTAAGTTTGACATCATATTTGATGAACCTTTCAGGTTTTGGTAAGAGTTTTTAGTCCTTCAGTAAATTGTTATCACTTCTGACTGCAATTTTACTTTCTTGACATTTTCAAACTGTTAACTACATATCTAGGTGAGCTACAGTGATTCTATTGTTCATTCTTCCTCTCGTACTACCAATGTCTCTCATTAAACAGGAAATTGTTTGATGGATATTGATTTGCCATAAGTAATGAGTCTGCTTGTAATTCTTGTACAGAGGTGGATCAGGGGAAGGGCTCTCAGGCCACAGACATCCGCATCTGGGACAGAGGGTATATAGAACAAACGGCCAGCCAGATTGGAGAGAGGCTAGAGCAACTCAGACAGGGAGTGATGAACAGAGTTCCCTCCCTTACCCGCCGGGTAAGTACAAGCTTGCTCATATGCTTAGGCTGATCCTAGAGAGGCAATGTGGTTGTGTTTCTCTCTATTTTGTTTCGTTATTTTGTTCTTTATAGGGATTCCAGCAGAATAGGGTCCTGAGACCTCCTTTCTGACAAAAGAACTAACTTGTATGGGGAGCAGGGCCACCTCGAGGGTGTTGAACGCAATTGTTTTTACCAGCGTAAACCTTTTTAGTCTCCATTGTGTCAGACATTGGTGTTGTCACACTATCAAGGGGAGATTCTTGAGAGGCATTTAGAAGTTGGTGAATATATAAGACGAGTATATGGATGGCAACTTCTTGTTTATTGTATAACACAACGCTTCTGGGCTACTTTTTGCCCCTTCATCAGGTAATTCTAATCACGTGAACAAGGGGCAAGAAGTAGCCCAGAAACAATAAACAAGAAGTTGCCATCCATATACAAGGGGAGATATTCAAGGAGAGATTTGTGTGCGGAGTTGCTGCCCTTAGTCATGGGTTTGAATTCCGGATTGCCCTTAATATGTGTTTTGTTTTACCCAAGCCATACACATGTTTGTGGGTTTATACTGAAGTGGTAAATGTTTAAAACCTGCACCATTTCTAGCTTCCCTGAAATGTCAAGCTGTGATTGTTTTAATGGAGTTAAACCCAAATGACTCACTCACCCATTTGACCACTGGTTTGTCTGGTCCAGGCTTATTGTACTGTAGCTGACCAGGATATTACCCATAGTACCTGACTTATTCTTACTTAAGCCTTACTTAATATCAGTTTTGATTTTTATGTATTTTCACAGAAACTGTTGGCATATGTCTGTAGGATCTCACTATGTAATATCTCTTCGGCAGAAAACTCTGATGAAAACATTTGCCGGCAAGCTGCCGGAGGGCATCGTCAGTATAGACGAGTCTGTAAACGGGGAGAAGGCGTTGGTTGTTATCTGTGTGCATCCCAACCAAACTGCATTTGTAAGTATAGATGTCATAACTGGCGACTTGTACATGTTACAGCGAGCAGCTTATTCATTTCATGACTAGCAATTATATCACCGGTATGTCCTGACTAGCAGAATTTACAAAGCTTACTTACTGCCTCGGTTGTGCAGTGGATAGAGTATGTTGAAGGTCAGTGGTTTAATTCTGGTTGTGTGATGCTTACAGAAGTTGTAAGAGTCTTATGTTGTGGGGTAGACACATTAAACTGAGCCTAACATGGTCTAGTGGTCTAACGCTATAAACCCAGAATACATCTGGGCGAGCACAAGTAGCCACACTCACATGTAGGTGAATGCAGGCAACCATCTTTATAGCGAATATGCTTGTAATGAACTCAGGGATATAACTAACTAAGAATACACAATGCCATTTAGAAAGTGCTCTGAAATTCAAACCCTTACTCTCAAAGTCAGGTACCTACTCCCCAGCACAGAAAGTCAGCAATCTAACCCAATCTGCCACCTCGGCTTCCATTTAATGGTTCCACTGTGTTGACATATGTCATCATATCCCAATTGCGTAGATCGATGGTGATTATGTTCATTACTAGACTTGTATATTTACATGTAGCAGGAATATTGCTTAGTGCAGTGTTAAGCAACAAACAAACCTCATACATGTTGTCTGTCCACAGGCTAAGAACCTGTGGCAGCTCCTTGAGGGGGCGGGGCTGGGGGTGTGGTGTACAGCAACACACAAACCTCATACATGTTGTCTGTCCACAGGCTAAGAACCTGAGGCAGCTCCTTGAGGGGGCGGGGCTGGGGGTGTGGTGTACAGCAACACACAAACCTCATACATGTTGTCTGTCCACAGGCTAAGGACCTGAGGCAGCTCCTTGAGGGGGCGGGGCTGGGGGTGTGGTGTACAGCAACACACAAACCTCATACATGTTGTCTGTCCACAGGCTAAGAACCTGAGGCAGCTCCTTGAGGGGGCTGGGGGTGGGGTGTGGTGTACAGCAACACACAAACCCCTTGAGCATACATGTTGTCTGTCCACAGGCTAAGGACCTGAGGCAGCTCCTTGAGGGGGGGGGCTGGGTGTGTGGTGTACAGCAACACACAAACCCTCATACATGTTGTCTGTCCACAGGCTAAGGACCTGAGGCAGCTCCTTGAGGGGGCGGGGCTGGGTGTGTGGTGTACAGCAACACACAAACCTCATACATGTTGTCTGTCCACAGGCTAAGGACCTGAGGCAGCTCCTTGAGGGGGTGGGGCTGGGTGTGTGGTGTACAGCAACACACAAACCTCATACATGTTGTCTGTCCACAGGCTAAGAACCAGAGGCAGCTCCTTGAGGGGGCGGGTCTGGGGGTGTGGTGTACAGCAACACACAAACCTCATACATGTTGTCTGTCCACAGGCTAAGGACCTGAGGCAACTCCTTGAGGGGGCGGGGCTGGGGGTGTGGTGTACAGCAACACACAAACCTCATACATGTTGTCTGTCCACAGGCTAAGAACCTGAGGCAGCTTCTTGAGGGGGGGGGCTGGGGGTGTGGTGTACAGCAACACACAAACCTCATACATGTTGTCTGTCCACAGGCTAAGAACCTGAGGCAGCTCCTTGAGGGGCTGGGGGTGTGGTGTACAGCAACACACAAACCTCATACATGTTGTCTGTCCACAGGCTAAGAACCTGAGGCAGCTCCTTGAGGGGCGCGGGCTGGGGGTGTGGTGTACAGCAACACACAAACCTCATACATGTTGTCTGTCCACAGGCTAAGAACCTGAGGCAGCAACACACAAACCTCATACATGTTGTCTGTCCACAGGCTAAGAACCTGAGGCAGCTCCTTGGGGGCGGGGCTGGGGTGGGTGTACAGCAACACACAAACCTCATACATGTTGTCTGTCCACAGGCTAAGAACCTGAGGCAGCTCCTTGAGGGGGCGGGGCTGGGGGTGTGGTGTACAGCAACACACAAACCTCATACATGTTGTCTGTCCACAGGCTAAGGACCTGAGGCAGCTCCTTGAGGGGGCGGGGCTGGGTGTGTGGTGTACAGCAACACACAAACCTCATACATGTTGTCTGTCCACAGGCTAAGGACCTGAGGCAGCTCCTTGAGGGGGCGGGTCTGGGGGTGTGGTGTACAGCAACAGGGGAGAGAGACACAACAGAGTCAGAGTCAGACACTCTACCCCTCAGCCAAGACAGTAAGTTGTACAGATACAGCTAACCTAGTCAGTCACACAGCAGCTGAACCATACTGTTCTCTCTTCTGCTCAACACTCTCTGTAATGATTTAGCACTGAAAGAAGCAAGTCTAGATTTACACAGGTTGTGAATCTCAATTTCCTTAGTGCTTCTTTTTAAGTTAAATGTAGTTGATTTATTTCTCAATCATTTTTATATATTTTCAGAGACTGAGATTTAGCCAAATGGTAACAGCTTGCTGTAGTGGATCAATTTTTACATAATAAAGAGATTATGCATAAAACATCTGTCTAAATACATAGCTCAAGAGTTCAGAAGCAGATCAGATGACTTATTGTATGGTAAGATCAATTACTTGGTCTGATTTTCTGACCTACTTATTTCAGTTTTGGGAGCCAAGAATTAAACAACAATGTGTTAACCCTGTGTCCTAGCAACCAGAAATTCCAAGAATTTGCAGACAGGGCATCTGTTGTTATCATCATTTTGTCACAAGCTTTCTCAAGGTCAAGGACATGTCAGCAGCAGGTGAGAAATTGAATAAATTCTATGTTTGTGTATTCTGTTTGCTCTGCTGAAATATTTTGAAACTTATCCTATCTCTCAATTCTAATGCAGGTGTTTTATTGTGAGCACCGGAAGCGAGTGATTCCTGTCAAGTTTGAGGAGTTTCGCATGCCTGGCTGGTTGAGTATGCTGATTGGGACAAACTACATTGAGGTGAGACCTTGGGACCAACTCTTTTGGGGTTAGAAATTGGGAACAACTATTTGGAGGTACAACATTGGGACCAACTGCATTGAGGTGAGACACTGGGGCGTACTCTTTTGAGATAAGACATTGTGCTCAACGCCTTTGAGTTAAGACATTGGCACCAACTCCATTGAGGTAAGACATTGGGACCAACTCCATTGAGGTAAGACATTGGGACCAACTCCATTGAGGTGAGACACTGGGGCGTACTCTTTTGAGATAAGACATTGTGCTCAACGCCTTTGAGTTAAGACATTGGCACCAACTCCATTGAGGTAAGACATTGGGACCAACTCCATTGAGGTAAGAAACTGGGACCAACTCCATTGAGGTAAGACACTGGGACTGACTCCTTTGAGGGAAGACATTGGGACTGACTCCTTTGAGGGAAGACATTGGGACTGACTCCTTTGAGGTAAGACATTGGGACCGACTGCGTTGATGTGAGACATTGGGACCAACTCCATTGAGGTAAGTCACTGCGTTGATGTGAGACATTGGGACCAACTCCATTGAGGTAAGACACTGGGACCAACTCCATTGAGGTAAGACACTGGGACTGACTCCTTTGAGGTAAGACATTGGGACTGACTCCTTTGAGGTAAGACATTGGGACCGACTACGTTGATGTGAGACATTGGGACCAACTCCACTGAGGTTAGATATTGTGACCAACTGCATTGTGGTAAGACACTGGGACTGACTCCTATGAGATAAGACATTGGGACTGACTGCATTGATGTGAGACATTGGGACCGACAGCATTGATGTGAGACCTTGGAACCAACTCCATTGAGGTGAGACCTTGGGACCAACTCAATTGAGGTAAGACATTGGGACCAACTGCATGGAGGTAAGACCTTGGGGCCAACGACATTGAAGTTAGAAATTGGGACCAAATGCATTGAGGTAAGACACTGGGACCAACTGCATTGAGGTAAGACACTGGGACCAACTCCTTTTGGGTAAGACACTGGGACCAACTCCTTTTGGGTAAGACACTGGGACCAAATGCATTGAGGTAAGACACTGGGACCAAATGCATTGAGGTAAGACACTGGGACCAAATGCATTGAGGTAAGAAACTGGGACCAAATGCATTGAGGTAAGACACTGGGACCAAATGCATTGAGGTAAGACATTGGGACCAACTCCTTTGAGGTAAGAGACAGGGACCAACATTTTCTACTGCTTGTTTTTATTGTCTGTCACACCATATTGTGAGTTTGTGGTGATGGATATCTTTGTTTTCCAACAGAGCGTGAAGCAGACAAACTTCGGACAGAGTCTGTTGACGCGGGTCCAGAGGTGTACCGATCCCAGCAGCTGCAACAACCTGCGGGAGGAGTTTGATGAAGTCCGACTCACACGTACAGTGAGTAGTCCTACATCATCATAGCCATTATGTCCATGAATGTTAATTTTAGCTGGTCCATTTGCTATTGGCCAGATTCCATGAACCAGGTTTATGGTCATGGCACTACATAAGGTGTGCAAGGTGTGCTTCCAAAGTGGTTAAGTTGTGCAGAGTTTTCACAGTTTCGAGACTAATTAGTCTTTAATAAAACAACATTGTTCACATAATCAGGTTGATAATCTTAAAGCATATCAATGCTGTTTTCAAAATTTTGAAATTGACATTGACTTTTGAAACGCAAAGAATTTAGGGGAGGCGAGTCCATAAGGAATGGACATGCCACTGGAGTGTCTAAATTTGGGCCTGTGAGAATTTGCCCATAAAACTAGCACAATCATCAATTTTAAGTCCGAGTCAGAGTAGTCTCCCTTGGCTGCTTAGTAACCAGAGGTTTTGTGGTATTTTTTTCTGAGACAGTGATAATAAGATGATAATAAGAGTTCAAGTTAAAATCTGAGGCTTCGTAGTCCCAGGTAGTTGTTGTGTCATTTGTTTGATAGCTCTGGTAATACGGGAAAAGTGGTACTGAAGTGTTATGATAACTCTGCAGGTGAACCACATCAAGGGTCGAGTCGGGCAGACGTCTTGTGTGTACATCTCTGGCAGCACTAAGTTCTACAACACCATCACTGAGGCCGTCTGTCGGTAAGTTCAACATAAATCATCAGATAAAAGTTAGCCTAATAGTTGAAAATAATGTAACTTTACCCATCATTCTGTCTGTTCTTTTTGTCAGATCAATTGGAAGTGAGTTGGCGCAGCTCCCAAACATCGCCATGGCAACTGGTGGGTTTTTTGGTGTTGGCGAAACTGTCAGTCTGACTTTTTATGAGGAATCTCAAAGACTGTGGAGGAAGAACAGTGTGTGGCATGTCCTGCCTGAACGTGATAACCAGGTCAGAGTCAGGATATATTCCTAAAACAGTTGACTGTACCCGTGAAGATCTGGGTTAGATCTTCAGTAACTCATGCTTGTCGTAAGAGGCTGACTAATGGGATCGGATGGTCAGGCTCGCTGATTTGATTGACACATGTCATCGTATCCCATTTGCGTAGAACGATGATCAAGATGTTGATCACTGGATTGTCTGGTCCAGACTCAATTGTTTACAGACCGCCGTCACATAGCTGGAATATTGCTGAGTGCGGCGTAAAACTAAACTCACTCACTCACTCACTCACTCAATTTGGGAACTGACACATTCTAGAGGGGCGGGCACACATTCTTTTTAAGGAGAGAAAATATTTTCAGATATTTGTTACAACTTAAAATACTTTTATGCTTACTAATTTATTGTCACACATGTCAACACAACTGCATTGTGTGTAGGAGTTAAGCATTACCAAGCATTGTTTCCAAACAATGGAAGACAAACATGCTTTTGTTACAAATGTAGGGATTATGTAAGCACCGATATTGTGCTTCATTCTTGATTGTCTCATAGAGAGGGTACAGTATATGAATTAGCATGGGTTTTGAAGGTTTTACAGGGGGTTGATTTATTGGTGGGGTTGCCCTACAGATGGCAATATACCTTTAGATCTTTTATTTGTGAATGTACATACTAAAAGTAATTGTATAAATTAGACTATGACTACAGTTACTCATTGGTGCAATTTTAACAATATTACTGAATGCAGATTGCTGTGTCACTGAATGCACTGGGGTTTTTTTCCTTTCAGAATATTGAAAGTTGTAATACGCAGCTGACAGTGTCTTGGTGATATGGTTAAGTGTAATAATGGAGATTGATATCTTGAAAATGGTTCAGTGATCATGTATACAACCACCAGGTTCTTTTTTCCCAGGATCGACACCAGCAAGCCCGCCAAAATCCAGATCTCACCTTCGGTATTGTTCCTTTTGGGAAGACAATATTCTGTGGCGACAGTGTGCGTGAGAGGGAGAATGTCGTGGCTCGAACTTTTGATGTCTGCATTCTCATTGAAGGTGAGTCAGTGTGTCACAAAGTCAGATTTGGTTTGGTAAATTAGAAATGGTTCCACCCATGAAGATCCGGGTTAGAATTGGTCTTCAGAAACACATGCTTGTCATAAGAGGCGAGGGTGGTCAGGCTGGCTGACTTGGTTGACACATGTCACCGTATCCCAATTGCATAGATTGATGCTCATGCTGTTGATCACTGGATTGTTTGGTCCAGACTTGATTATTTACAGACTGCCGCCATATACCTGGAATGTTGCTAAGTGCAGCATTAAACAACCAACCAACCAAGAAATGGTTCCCAGCAGCCTGTGCCGAGCATGAGACATGACCAAATGTCCTTGGTTATTTGGGTCAGTGACTGAACCGATGTGTCACCCCAGGGGCAAGGATCACTGGATTATCGGACCCAGACTCTCTACAGATCTGAGTGCAGCAATAAACAACACAGTCAAGGTCTTTGGGGAATATCAAACACATACCTTCAATATCTTTATCTTCTTTGTTTTGTTATGTTTATATTTCTGTGACAAAGACTTTTCTGCTTTTCTCATTGCATGGAGTCATTGCACACTTTCAGTCAGTAGTTGTGCTAATCAAGATTTGCTGAATGCTGTTGTATTGTTGGCTATAAAATGTTGTTTTCTCTTCTAATAAGCTACAGTATATTAACAGCAAACAAGAAACATCAACCAAATGGGGGACTGAGTATGATCAGGTCCTCGGCAATTTATGTTGTCATAGGAAGCACTAAATTGGATCGTGAGGCACTGCTTGTTCACTTGGTTGATTGATTGTAGCCGCTAGGTGTGGATGGTTGCTCTGAATATCAATCACTGGCTTGTCAATTATGTATTGGCCATTTTTGTGTGTGTTAAGCTAGAATCAGAAAATGAAACATCATGTGATCATTATTTCAGTGCTGGAATGACAGCCAGTAACATGAAGGTTTTGCTTTTGTATTGTCAAGAACTATCGATTATGATATTTGCACATGCTTTTCCCAGTCAGATTTTGTAAGGAGTTAAATTCACAGCTTTAAAATTGTATATATGCACCATGAAGGTCGCTTGTCTATATGGTGCTGTCAGTCAGAAGGTTCCTAATTTTGGGTTTCGCCACTAGGTGGCCCTGGTGCAGCACATGAGGCAGAACAGTTTGTATGGAACGACCATGTTGTGATCCCGGTCCGGTGCACAGGGGGCGCTGCAGGCGGCAAGTTTAGCATCCCAGACAAGATATTTGAGGTTTGTTTGTTTTATTCTTTGTTTGATTAATGTCACACTGAGTGCTTCCCTAGCTTCAGATGGCTGTAAGCAATCGAGTCATTTGTAGCTAAGGGCCATTTTAAACACAGATCTCCTTAGAGACATTTGAGATGGGCAGATCATATCTCGACTTACTTTCATGAGTTTCCTTAGTGACCAGATATTGTAGAAATACATGCACCTTTATGACAGGTTCTGTGATACATTGATTTACTGTATTGTAAATGTGTCAAACTACTCCATGTAGTTAATATCAGTCTTGGCATTACAGTTTAACTATAGTTGTATAAATGATAAGGTTGTGTCCAAGTCCTCTGGAGTAGTATATATAGGAGAATAGGGTGCATTTACTATAATCAATGGAAACGGACATATGTTTTTAAAACTATTTACCAAAAATCGACATAAAGAAGTTTCGCATAGCTCTCTCGTTTTCGTTGCTCTCCCATGAATTATTTATTGAAACTGGCAGGTATACAGGTATACAAAGAGAAAACAGAATATGTCAATTATGTAATATGAATACTGTTGAGGATGAACTACATTTCCTTCTAATCTGTCCTGTTTATACGACTCTACAAACAAAATACCTAAAGCCATACTATTATAAGCATCCAAGTGTAGGAAAATTACTTTCACTATTAACAGATACTACCACATCACTATTACAGAATCTGGCAATGTACATCTTTTTCGTTATGAGTTTAAGAAAAAGTATTGTTATAGAGATGAATTTATAAATTACTTCTATCTACTCATGTAAACTTTAAATGTACTATAGGCCTTTGGCCTTTTTAAGTCCTGAATAAAGATTGATTGAAGTGTGAATGTTCATGATGTTATTGTGTTTCTTGTGAAACAACAAGTTTGTTGTGTGCCTGGTTGCTGAAGGATTTCATAGATAAATTGTTAAATGATTGGTTATCAGGTACCACATGGAGTGTCAGAATATGATTGGAGCATGCTTGGCAAACCAGATGTCTCAGCCATTGAAATTGGCCAATCAGTGAGCAGGATTGTACAGGCACTGTTTGACAAGATGTCAACAGAAGATTTAGCATCTCAGCAAGACACACCCACAAAGGTCACCAGTGTGACCCCCTCAATGTCCCCCTGCAAGACCCCTAGCCCATCTCGGGTAGCAGGAAAACCCAGTCTCACAACCATGAGGACGGTGCTACTTGGCTAACAACTGGTTCCTCATCAAAGAAGAACTGTGATACAGTAATGTAATGCATTATAAATACAGCAGTTACCGTAATGCATTAATTATATTTTCTAATTATTTTTTATTAATATGATTGTCACTCATAACAATTGATGTATTCTTGCCTGATATCTGAATGACAAGTGCTGTTTAGAGTAATAGGAGTGTTTGAATTAAAGAGACATATGCTTTGTTATATAATGGGGTATATTTTATGAAATGGTTACATGTTTTACTCCAGCACGAGTGATTTATCATGCTGTATTTATGTATCAGGGGCCATTACTGTTATTGTATAAATTGTCTGTCAGTATTGTGATGCAGTCATTGTTGTTTAAAGAGTATTTTATGTTTCAATGCAAACTTTTTGCCATACCCAAAAATCATATTTGCCAACAACTTATTTTTTAATATTATTTTCCACCCCCTTTTTTACATTCCTCATGAAAATAGTTGCTTCAGAGAAATTTGAAAATTTTACATTTATGTCCAGCCTAACTGGTCTTTCATTAGAACAAATGTTTGCTTGTGTAGACCCTGCCAAGTATATTAAGTATCGGCACCCATTTTGAAATAGAATAATGTTGATGTTATGAATCTTGTTGCTTTGACATGTGTCGAACAATTGTGTATAAATGTTCATTTCAGTATCATTTGACTAATAATAAGTGTAACGGAAAGTAGTCTGCTTGTACTAAGAGTAGTTGTAAGAATGAAACCATGACAACATTACTAATATATGCATTTGTTTTGAGGTTTGTATAGGATATATATGTATGTTCCTTTCATTTTATACATATTTATGAGGAATTGAATATTATTTGTTGAACAAGCATTATATATATTTGAGTTTGGTGATGGAAGGGATTTATTTATGTGTTTTTGAAGCAGACATTTCATCCAAGTTCCAAGATTAGCAAGGTTAGTTTCAGTTCAACTCTGACAAACATGTTGAAGAGTGCATCCATAATTTACTCAAAATACATTTTTCATTCACAGGGTTTTAATCATAAAATAAATGGGGTTTTATTACTAGCTGTACTATGAATTTTGAAAATACTATAATCTGACTAGTCAAACAGAGGTTTCAAATCATAATAACAACCTCTGATTAAAACGTAGGTCTACATCACCCTGTTATGTTTAGTTAACCCCCAGTAAAAGAACATATAGCTTATAACATGCTGTCTACACTGCCATTGTTTATGTTTGTAGTCAAAAGTATGCATATATTGGTTTCTTTCCGCTTATTAGAAATATTAAGATGTGATTTTTTTGACAACTTTCTGTGGTATGTTCTAAAGATTCATGAGAGAAAAGCTTTCCCAATTTTATCTGATCTGACTCCACCATGAACCAGATTCCAGTATTTATTGCCTTGATACTGTTATGATACAGCAGACTGTACAACATTCCCACATTTCTCTCACAGCTGACTGTATAACATCCCCACATTTCTCTCACAGCAGACTGTACAACATTCCCACATTTCTCTCACAGCTGACTGTATAACATCCCCACATTTCTCTCACAGCTGACTGTACAACATCCCCACATTTCTCTCACAGCTGACTGTATAACATCCCCACATTTCTCTCACAGCAGACTGTACAACATTCCCACATTTCTCTCACAGCTGACTGTATAACATCCCCACATTTCTCTCACAGCTGACTGTATAACCTCCACACATTTCTCTCACAGCAGACTGTACAACATCCCCACATTTCTCTCACAGCTGACTGTATAACATCCCCACATTTCTCTCACATGTATAACATCCCCACATTTCTCTCACAGCTGACTGTATAACATTCCCACATTTCTCTCACAGCTGACTGTATAACATCCCCACATTTCTCTCACAGCAGACTGTATAACATTCCCACATTTCTCTCTCTACAGCTGACTGTATAACATTCCCACATTTCTCTCACAGCAGACTGTATAACATCCCCACATTTCTCTCACAGCTGACTGTATAACATCCCCACATTTCTCTCACAGCTGACTGTATAACATCCCCACATTTCTCTCACAGCTGACTGTATAACCTCCACACATTTCTCTCACAGCAGACTGTACAAAATCCCCACATTTCTCTCACAGCTGACTGTATAACATCCCCACATTTCTCTCACAGCTGACTGTATAACATTCCCACATTTCTCTCACAGCTGACTGTATAACATCCCCACATTTCTCTCACAGCAGACTGTATAACATTCCCACATTTCTCTCACAGCTGACTGTATAACATTCCCACATTTCTCTCACAGCAGACTGTATAACATTCCCACATTTCTCTCACAGCTGACTGTACAACATCCCCACATTTCTCTCACAGCTGACTGTATAACAGCCCCACATTTCTCTCACAGCTGACTGTACAACATTCCCACATTTCTCTCACAGCAGACTGTATAACAGCCCCACATTTCTCTCACAGCTGACTGTATAACCTCCCCACATTTCTCTCACAGCTGACTGTATAACCTCCACACATTTCTCTCACACCAGACTGTATAACAGCCCCACATTTCTCTCACAGCAGACTGTATAACGTCCCCACATTTCTCTCACAGCTGACTGTATAACATCCCACATTTCTCTCACAGCAGACTGTACAACATCCCCACATTTCTCTCACAGCAGACTGTATAACATCCCCACATTTCTCTCACAGCTGACTGTATAACATCCCCACATTTCTCTCACAGCAGACTGTATAACGTCCCCACATTTCTCTCACAGCAGACTGTATAACATCCCCACATTTCTCTCACAGCAGACTGTACAACATCCCCACATTTCTCTCACAGCAGACTGTACAACATCCCCACATTTCTCTCACAGCAGACTGTACAACATCCCCACATTTCTCTCACAGCTGACTGTATAACATCCCCACATTTCTCTCACAGCAGACTGTATAACATTCCCACATTTCTCTCACAGCTGACTGTATAACATTCCCACATTTCTCTCACAGCAGACTGTATAACATTCCCACATTTCTCTCACAGCTGACTGTACAACATCCCCACATTTCTCTCACAGCTGACTGTATAACATCCCCACATTTCTCTCACAGCTGACTGTATAACCTCCACACATTTCTCTCACAGCAGACTGTACAAAATCCCCACATTTCTCTCACAGCTGACTGTATAACATCCCCACATTTCTCTCACAGCTGACTGTATAACATTCCCACATTTCTCTCACAGCTGACTGTATAACATCCCCACATTTCTCTCACAGCAGACTGTATAACATTCCCACATTTCTCTCAGCTGACTGTATAACATTCCCACATTTCTCTCACAGCAGACTGTATAACATTCCCACATTTCTCTCACAGCTGACTGTACAACATCCCCACATTTCTCTCACAGCTGACTGTATAACAGCCCCACATTTCTCTCACAGCTGACTGTACAACATTCCCACATTTCTCTCACAGCAGACTGTATAACAGCCCCACATTTCTCTCACAGCTGACTGTATAACCTCCCCACATTTCTCTCACAGCTGACTGTATAACCTCCACACATTTCTCTCACAGCAGACTGTATAACAGCCCCACATTTCTCTCACAGCAGACTGTATAACGTCCCCACATTTCTCTCACAGCTGACTGTATAACATCCCCACATTTCTCTCACAGCAGACTGTACAACATCCCCACATTTCTCTCACAGCAGACTGTATAACATCCCCACATTTCTCTCACAGCTGACTGTATAACATCCCCACATTTCTCTCACAGCAGACTGTATAACGTCCCCACATTTCTCTCACAGCAGACTGTACAACATCCCCACATTTCTCTCACAGCAGACTGTACAACATCCCCACATTTCTCTCACAGCAGACTGTACAACATCCCCACATTTCTCTCACAGCAGACTGTACAACATCCCCACATTTCTCTCACAGCAGACTGTATAACATCCCCACATTTCTCTCACAGCAGACACTGGGTGTTTTCCTCTGCACTCTCAGTATGATTAACAGGTATGAAATGTACAATTTCTTACCTCACTGTAAGCTTTTACTGGTTGCATCAGATATGATCTACAATCACACACTACAGTCAGACTTTATTGACAAACTTGGATGTGTCTTGTCTTGAATTCACTTTCCGGCCCCTGCGATTTGTCTCAGATCCATTGAACATACTAGTGAGGAAGGGAGTACGCTGCTCTTATTGACACGCCAGATCCATTGAACATACTAGTGAGGAAGGGAGTACGCTGCTCTTATTGACACGCCAGATCCATTGAACATACTAGTGAGGAAGGGAGTACGCTGCTCTTATTGACACGCCAGATCCATTGAACATACTAGTGAGTAAGCTGCTCTTATTGACACGCCAGATCCATTGAACATACTAGTGAGGAAGGGAGTACGCTGCTCTTATTGACACGCCAGATCCATTGAACATACTAGTGAGGAAGGGAGTACGCTGCTCTTATTGACACGCCAGATCCATTGAACATACTAGTGAGGAAGGGAGTACGCTGCTCTTATTGACACGCCAGATCCATTGAACATACTAGTGAGGAAGGGAGTACGCTGCTCTTATTGACACGCCAGATCCATTGAACATACTAGTGAGTAAGCTGCTCTTATTGACACGCCAGATCCATTGAACATACTAGTGAGGAAGGGAGTACGCTGCTCTTATTGACACGCCAGATCCATTGAACATACTAGTGAGGAAGGGAGTACGCTGCTCTTATTGACACGCCAGATCCATTGAACATACTAGTGAGGAAGGGAGTACGCTGCTCTTATTGACACGCCAGATCCATTGAACATACTAGTGAGGAAGGGAGTACGCTGCTCTTATTGACACGCCAGATCCATTGAACATACTAGTGAGGAAGGAGTGCATTGCTGCTCTTATTGACACGCCAGATCCATTGAACATACTAGTGAGGAAGGGAGTACGCTGCTCTTATTGACACGCCAGATCCATTGAACATACTAGTGAGGAAGGGAGTACGCTGCTCTTATTGACACGCCAGATCCATTGAACATACTAGTGAGTAAGCTGCTCTTATTGACACGCCAGATCCATTGAACATACTAGTGAGGAAGGGAGTACTGCTGCTCTTATTGACACGCCAGATCCATTGAACATACTAGTGAGGAAGGGAGTACGCTGCTCTTATTGACACGCCAGATCCATTGAACATACTAGTGAGGAAGGGAGTGCGCTGCTCTTATTGACACGCCAGATCCATTGAACATACTAGTGAGGAAGGAGTACGCTGCTCTTATTGACACGCCAGATCCATTGAACATACTAGTGAGGAAGGAGTACGCTGCTGCTCTTATTGACACGCCAGATCCATTGAACATACTAGTGAGGAAGGAGTACGCTGCTCTTATTGACACGCCAGATCCATTGAACATACTAGTGAGGAAGGGAGTACGCTGCTGCTCTTATTGACACGCCAGATCCATTGAACATACTAGTGAGGAAGGGAGCACGCTGCTCTTATTGACACGCCAGATCCATTGAACATTGAACATAGTGAGTGAGGAAGGGAGACACGCTGCTCTTATTGACACGCCAGATCCATTGAACATACTAGTGAGGAAGGAGTACGCTGCTCTTATTGACACGCCAGATCCATTGAACATACTAGTGAGGAAGGAGTACGCTGCTCTTATTGACACGCCAGATCCATTGAACATACTAGTGAGGAAGGGAGCACGCTGCTCTTATTGACACGCCAGATCCATTGAACATACTAGTGAGGAAGGGAGTACGCTGCTCTTATTGACACGCCAGATCCATTGAACATACTAGTGAGGAAGGAGTACGCTGCTCTTATTGACACGCCAGATCCATTGAACATACTAGTGAGGAAGGAGTACGCTGCTCTTATTGACACGCCAGATCCATTGAACATACTAGTGAGTGGAGTACTGCTCTTATTGACACGGAGATCCATTGAACATACTAGTGAGGAAGGAGTACGCTGCTCTTATTGACACGCCAGATCCATTGAACATACTAGTGAGGAAGGGAGCACGCTGCTCTTATTGACACGCCAGATCCATTGAACATACTAGTGAGGAAGGAGTACGCTGCTCTTATTGACACGCCAGATCCATTGAACATACTAGTGAGGAAGGGAGTACGCTGCTCTTATTGACACGCCAGATCCATTGAACATACTAGTGAGGAAGGAGTGCGCTGCTCTTATTGACACGCCAGATCCATTGAACATACTGTGAGGAAGGAGCTGCTGCTCTTTATTGACACGCCAGATCCATTGAACATACTAGTGAGGAAGGAGTACGCTGCTCTTATTGACACTTCAGATCCATTGAACATACTAGTGAGGAAGGGAGTACGCTGCTCTTATTGACACGCCAGATCCATTGAACATACTAGTGAGGAAGGAGTACGCTGCTCTTATTGACACGCCAGATCCATTGAACATACTAGTGAGGAAGGGAGAACATACTAGTGAGGCTGCTGCTTATTGACACGCCAGATCCATTGAAC